GAAAAAAAAAAAAGAAAAGAAAAAAAAAAAAAGGTGGAGGGGTGGGTGTATGTATGGATAAGGGAAAGCAGAGAAGGGAAAATAAAATAATAATGAAATAAAACACGAGGTAAAATTCCACTTTGAGTGAAGGAAAGTCTTGACCCAAAATTCAAAGTCGGTTTGGAAACAGACCCAGGAAAGATTGGGAAAGGGCAACGGCAGAAAATGGGAAGAAAAAAAAATTCAGGGAAAAAAAAAATTGTAAGAAAATGGAAAATGGAATAAATTCAAACTCAATGACGAAAAGAGCAAGCGGGGAATTTGGGTAGAGTGTTAGTCAGGTATTTATACAAACAGTAAGTGACTTAACAAACTGTTTTACTTCCCAGAAGTTGGAGTACGATCTGAAGTGGCTTTTTGGTACAGGGTGGATGCTACCGGATGGATCCCTTACAGCGAGCGAGAGAGAGCGAGAGATAGAGAGAGAGGAGCAGAGGTAGCGGAAAGAATGAGAAGGGAAGGGAAGGGAAAAGAGGGAAAAGATGAGCAGAAAGCCAAGTGAGCAGCGGCTGCTCAAGAGGGTCTCCAGGGGCGTGAAGAATCAGGCCTGTCATTCTCGACCCACTGTGCACGCGGACGGTTTCATGCACCAGACAACGTGGGCCAAGGGCAAAGGTGGACGGATCGTCCTTTGGGGCGATCAGAGGTCGGCTTCCCTGCAGAGTCCGGCAGGGTGGGATGGGTGGGATAGAATGGGATGGTACGGGTATTGCCCTCCGGAAAGGCTACCTTGGGTAAGGTAAGGTTCCTACAGGCGACCGCCCGAACCTGCAGGCCTTTTCTTAGCCATGCTTCCCTTCTCGTTGATTACTTTTTTTTGTCCTTTAAGCGGGATGGGGGCCCTTCTCCGCGTCTGACATTAAGGAAAGGGGCCATATTTAATATGTAGAATTGAGTTATGAGTTAATTCTCCCTCTTCCTGCCAGAAATCATCCCTTCCCTGTCATGGTTTGATGCAAGGAGATCCCCGAACGGTGAAGGTAACTTAACCAGGGCCATCTTACTTTCCCGGTCCGTATCCCTGTGTATGGTAACCTGTGTCACATACCGTATCGTTCTCAGAGATACATTGCTTGCTCCGTCTCAACCACCTCCAAAGTGGGCCGGTTTCCAAAACCGCTGGCGTCGGATGATCAGCGAAATCTACGCCTGGGGAGGGTTTCAACCAGATCGCGCTGTGTTCGCTGTATAATGAATGTTCCCCATCAGACACGCAGCAACAGATTGACTGGTGGATATTATTCCCGAAAGATATGGAAGAAGAGGACTGAGCGGTAAGTCATATAGGTATGGACTATAGAGAGCTATCAGAAGAATTCTGAAGCGAGCAAACAAGCAAGTGACATTAATTATCAGCATCGACCGACTAAGTAGTAAGTAGTGATTGCTGCACAGCAATTGAAGTGATGCGACATTATTGGTTTATCTGCCTGAGACCATTAATAATGTGCATCTCAGAAGTTCCTACCGTATCTCTTATCATATGACGAGGAGATTTGGTTCTGGTAAGCCCCGGGCAAGTAGTACTCAAGCATCATATCCCGAGCCTAAGCTGACAGGTTGTGTACCTGGTCTATACATACTACATACATCAGGGCAAGCACGTTTGTTCCTTCCAGTCAAACGGAACAGGGGCAGATGCGAGCAGGCAAAGAAAAAAAAACGTGGCCGACACGCTTTTGCTCGGTCTGTACACCCAAAGGTACCTCCAGCCAGACCAAACAGCAGCCAGCAGCGCCAAGCCCGTCACGTTACCAAGCACCTTCCTTCTTCAGCAAGCAGGCCTCCATACTGGAGAGACTGCGGCGGCCTTCAAGCAGTAACGATCATCCTTGAGTCATGACCGGAAAATCCCCAAGGCACTGCAACCAGTCACAGCGTCTCGTAACGAACACTTGCAGCCAGGCTCTTGCCAAATCGGGACTAGCTTGCCACTAGTACCAGACTCAAGTTGCTCGCCATTACGCTGGCGAACACCGACTTTCAACCTTTTCCCCACCCCCAACCCAGCCCGAACGACCCATCACCTCATCATCGGCCTCTGGGTTTTGGGCCCTGGATGTATTGGGTGCTTGCGTTTCGGGCTTTGCTGTTTAGGCTTCACCCAGCGTGCTATCCCCGTCAATGATTGATACTTTCACTCCCCATTTGAACTCTCTTCTCCTTCTTCCTCTTTCCCCCCTACACGGGCGATCATAGCCACCAATCATTGCCTATCTATGGCATAGTACGGACTGGTTGGCAGCCTCACAAGCCCCTCTTATCTTTTTTTTTCTCTGTGTAAACCTTCCTTTCGCCCACGTGGGTATCCCGCCCGAGCAAAACCTTGTTGGGTTCTGATTCGAACCAAGCGAACCAAGCAATTCCCTGATGCAGATCAATATTTACTTGATGTCTGGATTTGTGGCCTCAGGCCCCTGTCTTCTTAGGGCCTTTGAGGGAGGGAGAGAAAGCCACGCGAACGATACATCAATCCCCGTTCCCTTGTCTATAGTTGGAGGAGTCGACTTCGCCGGGGAGACAAACGAAACTATTTACAATGCTGCATATGATGAAAGTCTAACGACCAGTCCTGCTTCGGTCGGACCAGGCAGCCAGCCATCCTCAGTAGCAGCGAAACCCCTGCCAGATCACTTCTCAATAATGTGATCAAGCCGATCAAGTTTCAGAATATGTCTACAAAGTACCCTGTCTACGTAGCATTCCAAAAAAGAAAAGGATAAGAGGACCCAGATGGATAGACGCGGTGGAGCAGAACAAACCAGATGGCTTCCCGCGTGGCTGAGTTGTGATGGCTCTCGTATTTTATTATTTACTTCGCGTGGATGAAAAAAACAGCTGCCGAGGACTCTTTCGTTCGCCTTCTTTTACTTCTTGGATGCGTCTCCCGCTCTTCCACGACTCTTCCAAGTGCATTCTTTCCTGCCTTCTGTCCTAACCGAGACCCATGCGGTTCCACGTGGACACACGTGGAGAAAAGCTGGCGGCTGGTTTGGGTTGCTCGGGCGGCTTGGCTGTCGGCCGTTTTGGCCTCGCCTGCCGGTGTGTCTCGCAACTCACATTCCAGAGGGTGACTGTATCCTCTTCCTCGGGGTCCAAGCCCAATCATCCTCATTTCTTGGACCTGGCCGACCCGTCCTGAGCCAAATCATGGCACTCTTGGTTTGTTTATTTCGTGTTTTTTGTTTTTGCATCAACCACGCTGCCAATCGCATGGCTAACTGACAAGCTATTGCTCACAGCAATTCTCCGTATCCTACTAGTATTGTCGCATCACGTCATAAACCCTGAGATTCATGTCTGAAATAGGTAGTAGGTGACTCCGTAAATGTAGTACCGCTATGACATACATGGAGGATCTGCTGGGGCCTATTCTCCAAACCTACTATTAGTTCAATTTTCTCCAGCCCATCTCCAGATCTCTCTCAATGTTGGGACGCCAACAAGGTTTACAAGTGCAGACCAATTCCTGATTCTCCCTAAAAGAGCCACTAGGGAATTTAGACCGGGATTACCAATGTGCACTGCGGCTACACTGACCACCATCACCACAAGTCCCAATTCAAAATGGGGGCAGCGTCTGAATACGACTATACAGTAGTAAGCCATCATCATATACCCAGAGCAGGCTGTCAGTGCGCTTGTCACGGCCATTGGCAGTCCGCCACGAAGTTAAAAGGGCTCCCCCATCAAGCTAGAAGAAACAAAGGAAATGAAGGACAAGGGAGTCAGAAAGAGACGATCCTGCCAACACACAGTTCAATCCTCCTGATCCTTTTCTAATCCTGAGGCTCATCCTAAACCCCCGGACGTAGAAGGTCTGATCGCAGCAGGATTGCGTCTGACGTGCGCCCCAGCCGGTTAGCTACAGCAGCGTAACTTGAAGGGTCATCATTCAACTGGAATGCTCACGAAATCTTCCGGGCCCAACGTTAGTAATACCTAACTTCAACCCAGGGCCATCAGGCTAGCGGTCAGTTAGTCGACCGTACCAATCATAGTGACCTACCTGCCATGGCGGCTACGTAACCCTTCTTTTGTCTGATGAAGGATTCACGATCAGATCCCCCCTGGGGCAGCAGGCAAGGCAATCTATCTCTGTGTATATTCTAGTACCCACTCTTGGAATTGTTCTGGTGGCTATTGCCTATCAAGCTATCAGCAGCAGCAGCAGCAGTAGTAGCAAGTGTGTCTCCACCAGAGCAATTGGGGCAACACGAAGCGGTGAGCCATGAGAAGGAGGGGCTGCAATGGCGCAATTCCTCCGTTTCGGAGCTATCCACACTTTTTTTTCTTTCTTTTTTTCTTCTTTTGCGCCCGCCCTGGAGCCGTGACCGGACTGGCGGTAAAGAGTCTCAGTCACAGACACAAAGTGAAACCCCGTCTGTCACTGTCATGCGGTCACGTAATCAGTAATGAAGGTTAGCTACCGGCGGTCAGACACTTGTGCCGTGCCCAGACAAGAGGGATTGTAGCGATTTGATCATTCGGCTTCGGCTTCATGTGAATCGAGATATAATTATTTATTACTTACTACAGGGTCATGACAAAATCCGCGTCAGCTTTTCGATAGTAACAGCAAGCCATGAAAATGGAACAGGGGGGCCCGGACCGCCAAATCGGGAAGCCTCCATACATATCAGTAGATAGATAGCTTCAAATCCTGCTGCATGACAGCATACAGTATGTACGGGGTCTTCTAGGGCCTTTCTCGCCCTATCACCCAGGAGACAAACCAATCCAATCCACTTGCCCCCAACAATAACAACATTACTACTTAGCAACAGCGCTACTAGCCGCGACATGCGAAACTCACTATCCAGTTCACGCAGATGGATGATCCCTGTCAGCCGCGTTACTCCTCGCGTGGCGGTCAGGGATCATCCCGTCGGAACGCAAAACAAGGCTGCGTCTAGACTGCTGTTGGTGTCCTCTCCTGGCGATATTCTTAGTGGCATTACTGCCTACAAAGAAAAGTACCAACTTAGCACCTAGATTTGTTAATGTTGTAGCCTCTTGCGCGGCGCCAATCGTACTATCTACCACGCCATCCATCCTTGGCTTCCCGTCCATGCGTCCTTTTGCTATAGTCAACCGACATTAATGAGGCGAAGAATATGAACGGAGTCAGTCGCATTCGGTATGTGGCTTGCGACCGAGTCAGACATTCCTAGAGGCTAGAACCTCAGCTATCTGTGCGCCTCCTTAGCCACAGATCAACTTTGTTATTCATTCCTTATCATTTATACTTTTTGGACTTTCTTTCATGGCGTCGTTATGGACCTGTCTAGGTCAGGGTGTGTGTCTATCATCATTTCAAGTATGATCCAGGGGGCGGTGGGTGAATAACAATCATCCGTGCTATTCGAAATTAACTTTGGGTAATCCTATCCGTCTCTAACCTTGCCATGTAGTCTATCTACTAAGATGGGGATAGTCGGCTGTATCCTCAATCGGTCCAGCCAGGCAAACAATCAGGCAACCTACCTAAGCCGGCTGGCTGGATTTAGAAATTTTATCTCCTGCTGGCACTTCTTCAGCAATCTGCCACAAAACCTTGGCGCGATAATGGTATGACAGGTGAAACATGGCAGTCGATATTCGTATATCTCTCCATGGTCAAGACGTCCATCCAAGTATACCTTGAGTAGGTAACCACGCTAGAGCCTATATGCAATATACCCCGATAATAACCGAGTCTACACACGGCAGTTGGACGATCAACCTACCTGCCTAGCTCGCGCTCCAGGCTTCATTCTACTCACTCTATCTATCAACAGCCACCCACTGCTCAGACAAATACGAGCAACGCCTCCATCATTTCCATGTAAACTGATTCGCCATTAGATCTATTCAGCCTAAATCATCCATAGTACCAGGCTTGTGCTCAGTCCGCTTTCTTTTTGATCCATCTTCGTTTGTTCTACTGCAGAATGGATAGCAGCTAACAAACTACGGAGTATAGTTAGTTAATATGGATCTATCTAACCGTAGCTAGTACGTAAACTCTGCAGCACCTACCCTCCTACCTAATAGAGTGACCTGCAGACTAGTGGAGCGATAGCTATCTTTAATATAGGTGGTAGTTAGATACTCCGTAGCTATCACTACTATATACAGTATGTTAATAGACAACTATGTTGCTACTTTATCTGCCCCATCACTTACTTCCCTTCTATACTTACTCCAATTGACCGGAGAACAAGATATCCGGTCTACTATCCGGTCTATGGATCTACAATTACATAACAAATAAATTCTTTTTTTTTCCTCTTTCAAGCACTTACTAAAACATAACATAAGTAACAGAATACATCCTTCATTCAATTCCATCAGTACTATCAATACCATCAGCCACCAAACCCATCCATACGAACAGAAGAAATCCAGAATGTGACTCATACGTCATATCACAAACCCAATCCCGAACTTCATACCCATACCTCGGCTGAAACTGGCACTATTCTATTCACATCCTGAAATCACCCGAACCAAGGTACGACCCCCAACCCTGATCCATAGAAATACCAATCTGGAAAAAGATGGAAATTGTATGAAATACCGAAACGAACAGATACCCGAAAACAGAAATGGAAAGAAAAGCGGTCAGAGAGTTCACGCGGTTCCAGCGCAGTGGAGTATGTAAAGTCTTGGCAGCGGGTTGAGAGGACAAAATAGGTGGGGATGCTGTTACTGTACAGTATTTATTTCACTGATTCAACTGATTTGTGTATTGTGTACGTTTCGGATTTCCAACTTGGAGATGATGATGGAACGGATGGAACACGAACGGAGAAACAGCTCTTTTTATCTGCTGGTGGATACTATTTTACACACGTAGGTATCCATTCCACATGGAAGAAAAGAGTAAATGGTACACGGTCTGTTATGGAGAATTCTCGGGCGCGGGTATGCGCCACGTGGGTTTTGCGGTGATACACATACATAATTCCAGACCTTTTTTTTTCTTTTCTTTTTTTTCCCCCTTCCACTATTTACGAGCGGAGAGGTCATATGACGAATATTTTAGTTACAGTAGGTATGGGTATGGAAGGGCGCATGTGTCGTCATTATGGGGCATGGAAAAATTTTCCCTCATATGCGGTTTTGTTACTATTTTCTTGGTGGGTTTTCGGGTTGGTAGGTTAGGGTTGATGTCTGTCTGTCTGTCTATCTACTTACACAATCTATCTAATATCTGTCTGCCTATTTGTCCGTTAATAGTCGCTATCTAGTGTGTGTTTGTGCGCCGCTTAGGAGACTGCGTTAACTGCTTAGTGTTAAGTTCCAACTTAGTATCTGGGCAATATGTAGGGGGCGGGATATTCCGCTGCGGCGGGTTTTAAAGTTCGCACTTAGAGTTTGCTTGATGTGAGCATGTCTTAATTCTACGGAGTATCTAGTACGTAGTAGTTTAGCTTGGACACTTTGATGAACTGTATTTTGATGGCTGGAAGCCCCTGGAATCCAACGTGCCTCTATGGCTTGGTTGTGGCTGAAGTTGGAAATAGAAGCAATTGGCGATACGCCCCTGAACCAACATCAAGGTACTTCTTGTGTTGGAAGTTCATTGGATCACGGAACTGTCGGCTTAGAAAGTCCTGTTTCAGGTGCCCTGAGCTGAAGCGTGGTTGGGAAGGCATTCGTTCGGTTCCCGGCATTTGCCATTCCGTACAATCCTTCTCCAGGCAAAAGGGGGTGGTGAGATGAACTATTTTGGGGGTCTTATTTATCTGGGGCAATGGAATGGGATAGGATGTGAATCCTGTCGGGCACAGGAGACACTCGCTACATTGTACCACTGTTAGTATAGCGTGCGCCAGATGTCTGGAACGAAAGTAAGCGCTTGGAATTTCTAGAAGGAAGTTGTTGGAAGGGCTAAAATCCAGCAGGATTGCATGTCTAATCCAACTTACCATCACGGCGGAGATATTCACTTACGTAGCATGTACGCACTGTTCCTGCATCGTGCAGTAGTCCGGTGGCGAAAGAAGCCCAGCTGAAGCTTCTAGAGCGGCTACTAGTTTTGCTAGCTAGAACTACTCTGTATACTACAGTTTTACCAGGATCGGAAGACGCCGATACCCATTCCTTCCATCAAGCTTTTTGATTGTATTCCTCAATCGCAAGCGTATTACCTACCAGAGTAATTGAGATGCTCGCCCCTACGTCGCAATTTTCGATCGGCTGGGGATCTACAAGTCCGCAAAAACTCAAAGACCCATCCGTCAACAACGTGTTCCTTCCCAAGCAAGTATATCCTCCTGGGACGGGAAGCGTGGGTGGTTCGCCAGCCAGTCCAATTTTTCCGACAGTTGGTCCTCCTCCGATCTGCCGATCAATGGAAACCGTAGAAGGAATGAGATCACAAGAAAATCATACGGTGTTCCCCGTTGGAGAACAAGAAACTAGTGAGGCTGTATCCACGGTTGAGTTAATTGAGTTAATCTACTCCTGGGGCGCTATTGCTTGGTGGTTCTGTTTCGGGGCCTGTGGGACGCCGATGGATGCGCTAGAAGGATTCTGGAAGACTTCTGGAAAACGCTAGAAGGCGTAGGTCGGTTGGGGGCTGGTCACCCCCAATCCCTTTGCCATGTGTAAGACTTTTTTCTTGTCCTTTTATTTTTATTTTTTTTTTTTTTCCCCTTCTCCTTTTTTTCTCTTGTGTGAATTGTTGGGCGAGACTAGGGATTCGTACCTATCTGAGGTAAGTTAGCGATGGATCACATGGTGTACACCGGGCTTTTGCGGCGTTTGTCTTAGGAGGCGTGGTTGATTCACCGTATTTGTATGATGAGTCCACCGGCCCCCGGATATGATGGGGGTGACGGGCCAAGGATATACGGGAATACGGATTGAGTAAGCTGGGCGCTGGGTGGGCGGCTGGACTCAAGGTTTACCGCTTAAGTGAGGAAGGGGCCGGAGATAAGTTAAACCGCATACATGTCACTTTTGTCTAGTTTCGTCTTGTCTTGCATGTTCCCAATTTGTCTTCAGGCTATCTTACTAACTCTTCCAAGCAGGGTCCCGGAGAAATTGTCCGACTCCGGCGTTCAACTGCTAAAGGGCGTGAACTGGGGGGCCCTTTGCCGCGGCCGATATCGTCGCGCGAAGTGCGCTTAGTCAGAAGCAAAACTCTCCGAGGGTCAACTGGCATCACTGCCTGAGTCGGTCAGTTCCAGGAGACGAGACGCACGTGGAGGATCTTCCGGGAGGCGGCCAATCGAACCTTGAGCGTTACATTGCGTATGGGAGGGAAACGGTATGGACTAGTCTCGTACAGACGGTTACTTACCGCCTAAAGCAGCCAGGCCACTTACCGAAAACTGGAAATAGGGCGAGAAAAAGCCCCCAAAAGGGTGTCGGAGTCGGAGGCGGAAAGAGCCGGAGTCGGAGCCGGAGCGGGGGGCCCTGCTTCAGGCCAACTTCAGGCCAGCTTCCTTCGGGCCAACCTAATGTGCTGCTACTGCTGTCAGCCTACGATGTGATAGGCTGGCTTCTCGTTCTATCTCATCCTGTTGCTGCTGCTGCTGCTTCTCATCACCATGGCCATCATCTTTATCGCTCATGGTGTCTCCATTCCCATGCAGGACTACTACCACTGCTTCTTCTGAAGAAACGAAACTCATCTGACTTGAAAATTGGTACTCTATACATACCCCTGCCTGTCTTGCCTCAAAAGCAGTGTGGCCCACCACCGACATACTATACTGAATATGTACTATGTCTTCTGCCTTGGCCTCATCCACGCCTTTCTTTCTACCGCTGCAGAAGCAAGGGGTCACCAGCATGCATGATAACTACACTGGTTCCTATTTGATACTTCATTGTGGCAGACGCTGATCCTTGCTCTCCACGCGAAAATTAAACCCCAAGGCTTTGTCCTTGTCATGGCCCCACCTGACCAGCTTCCAGGGGGGTTTTTCCCTTCAGGCTGCTCCCATGGGCAGGCAAATCTTGAATTATGATGCTGATTGCTGACTGGGTGATATGGGGGAAGGTAGCCTGTTGTTCCCTTTTCCACCATCCCGCAATCGGGTCTATCATGCTGTGCAACCTGATCGAAAATGGCTCTGATCACCGTCCATCTGCTCACGGTGCCATGCGAAGGGCCAGCCGGTTTCCCACACGCACACACGCGAGAGAGAGGGAGAGACCCGGTATGCCCCGGATGCTGACTGGGTGCCGCGCGATGATGGAACCGGCGCGACAGGGATCTGGACGGTTGATTGCATCGTCGGTGCATGGACCAATGATGCCCATCCCCGACCATTGGACAAAACTCCAGCCGACGAAGTACGAGGCTGGGCCGTTAGGTCAACCCTGAAAAGTGGTGTGTCTCCTGTCTACGGTGTCTACGGAATAGCTTGCTAGGATAACTACATGTGTATCTGTTTAGCGACTGGAGGTCGCTGTTCGGTCCCCTTAGTGTCCGGTTAGCCCAAGCGTGGCTTGGCTTGGACCGGATCATCATCAGCAACAGCAGCAACATACTTTGGGGCGCGGAATATCCCGTCCAGATTACGGAAGCCCATCAGTGACATCTTTCTGGGGGCGCCTTACATTAATCTATCTTCTGCCCAAAACAAATGATTAATCCCCAGACGAACACCTTACGACCGGCAAAAGCAGGCAGCCTCTCTTCCCGGCTAACCCCGCCGCCAATTCCACTTTGGTCCTGCGCCAGCTCATGACGGTCATTTCATGCATTAGTGTGCAAGAGACGTGGCCCCGATTCGTCTTAGTTTCCTAGTCAACAGGCGATGGAGATGAGCCAGGATCGCACCAGGATTCGGTTCAGAGCCACGCAGTTGCATCGCCCATGCGTGTACATAATCAGTAACGGTGCATTTCCGCCCCCATTATTTAGTCTATAGCATGGTTATATCACAGTCATTTATGCGTGGGCATATACCAGCTATCTGATATGAATGGGGGGGGGTGCAAGTGCGGAGTATCGGCCCAGTCGCTCCCTCCATAAGGATTACTGTGTCCCATTCTCACCACTCAGACTCAGAGTGACCAAAGGAACCTAATCTCAACCGAGGATTGCCTCTGTGACGCTGATCGACCAGACTACCACCCATTATTGGCCGGGGTTCCGTTCGAACTAGTCCGGCAGCCTCCCTTGCTCACGGCCTGGCGTGGCTAGGGTTGCACAAGGCTGGTCGAGACCATCGGGGAGGGATGATGGCTCAATTCAGCCCAGGCTGTTGGCCAATCTTTGGTCATCCGCGGAGCACTGCATGGGCGATGGTGCGTGTATCCCTCCCCTCGGCGTTTCCATGTACCTTGCCTGCCATGAGGAGACGGTGCAGCAGCAGCATCATTCCGGGCGCGGGCTGGTTACCCTGCTTCGCCATGAGGTGGTACTAGGCACTTTGAGCTAAGGCAGCTCTGCCGATTCCCCTCTTTTATCTCTGCCACACGGCCTTCAGCCCCGTCTGACACCATCACGACAATTATCACAGTTAACCAACCGTCATCGCGATCTCACCTACACAGGCCACCACCACCACTCACATACACATCATCTCCATTCCGTCCAAGTACCTTTATTTCCCCCCACAGTTGACCCTAGCAGTAGGTACATACCTAGACAGCGACTAGATATGCAGTGGTAGGTCCAGAGCAACACTCAGCCCCATTTCATATGTGCATCCTTGGTTTCGTCACCACCTTAGTTGGTCAACCTAAGTATGACCCCTGTAGACTATCTATCACATCGCAACCCCTCCCAACGGTACCACCCAACCCACCGCATCAGTTAGTTTGCCTCTTTAGCACGAATCACATCTCCCATCACCGTTCAGACTGCAGAGTAAACACTAGTCATTCCGCCTCTTAGCAAGGTCAAGAATGTCAGGCACATTCATCCATCCATCCACCCAGCATATCCCGTCATCCACCTGCTGTACAAGGTCGATCACTTTTCTTGTCCATCCACGCGACCGATCACCCTGCAAATCAAAAACGAATTCCATACAGCCAACCTACTGTATTAATCGGCGATCTTATTCCATACTACCTGCCTATTTATCGACTACTTGCCTAAATAGTACGTATTTTCCGCTGCATAAGAATATGCACATAATCGGTTAATTGATGTGGATATTCAATGGTAACAGACTCTCATACATTTTACAAGAATTAGTCACTTACTCCGCAGATGTTCAGATAATGAAGCTGTTAGGGAACCTGAATAGCGCTCGCGATGGCTGACTACTACGGACTACTGTAGAAACTGAAATAAATGATCTCAGCTATACTCTATATCCCATTGATCATGACAATATATGTAAAAGTTACGCTATAACACGGCACTACAATCCTCGATCACTAATTCCATCATTCATACTAACTACCATTAATTGAACATCCCCAATACATAACAATAATATCACTTCAGAATTTCTTACCTATTCACACCAACTCCGTTACATCCGACCAATTCAATCAATTTTCCTTCGGGGTCAGTCGTCAACCATTCCATGCATGGATGTTGCCCAATCATTAATATAATGGTACTATAAACCATATGCATCCAGCCTTGCCTCTTAACCTCATCTGATGACTTGATACCTTGAATCCACGAGTTACAGAGATAGTCAACCATCAGATCTGTTATTTATATACTGATATTCCATACCGTCATCCCCTAACACGGCACATACATAGTATACTATCCATACCCCCAGAAAAGAACGGACAATTCTAGCCAACTAAGTCAACAAATATAGTGGGGTTAAAAGCCCACCCACCAAAGGAGGGGTTGTTTGGCTTCATCATGTCCACTGATTCTCGACACTACTGTAGCTACTCAACCAACCAACAGCTAGTCACATAATAGACAGTAGTAAGAAGTAAGTAGGTAGTAATATAACCCGCCCACCTTCTTGATCAAGTTAAAGCAGCCGCTTATTGCTGCTGCTCATGCATACTAGACACACATTCGCATTCCGCTAGATACATAATCTGATTCTTTCTATGTGGGGAATGGACAAATTAGTATAAGTAAGTAAGTAAACCTGTCTAGACTAGACTATGTCTATCGCTAGGCTTTCTGCAAGGTGGATTTTCAGTTTCTTTCCCCCTCCATCTTTGTCTGTTTTCTTGTTTCTCTCCCCCGCGCCTAGGCAGACGTCTAGGCAGATTCCCATCTATATTTTACTTGTTTGTTGTGTCCAGGCAACTGGGTAGCTACCTAGCTGCTGCTGCTGCCTAGTATGATGGGAATAGGCAGATGAATACTTCGTACGAATGAAGGAGAAAATAAACAAAGAAAGTACCTTCCACCCGTGCGTCCCACCTCAACCTGTGTGGAGTAATGGAATGTGCAACGTGCAATGTGGCAATGTGTGTAAGATTCCTCTTCATGCAATGCAACATAGTACTACTAGTACAAGTAAGTAAGTCTAGACACCTACATCCCCGTTGTTGAACCTAAGCAAGGCTGAGTTTCCCTTCCTTCCTTCCTTCCTTCCCTTTTCCCCCCTCACCTCACACGGACAATTCCCTGCACCGTGCAGGGCAACCTTCGCTTTTTTGTCCTGCTCAGCCATCCCGCCACCACCGTCCTAATGATCCTCCCGTGCCGGCCATCTCGACCACCTCGTCGAAGCTGATTTCCACCCGGAACATCCGTCCGTCTGCAGTGCCACTGCCCCCGCCAACGGGGCTGATCAGCCCCCAGCTGACGAGCTTCTCCCATGCCTCGCGCGCCACGTCCCGACCCCAGACTCGTCCCGGAGTCACCGCGGCACCGGACACTGAGGCTGACGTCTTGGCGGTCGTTAGCAGTCGCACGTACTCTGCATAGGCTGCGGGGAAGGAGAGCGCTAGTGGCGCAGCGCTCTGGAGCTGCGTCGTCTCAAGGCCTGGTTCGTACAGGGCTGCTAAGCGGGTTGCGGCTAGAAGGAGCGAAAGCGGGAGAGATGAGGGACTTGCGGAGGCGGTGGTCGACGCGGAGAATGGGAGAGGGGCAGGGTCCGGGCAGGATAGGAGGTGACTGGTGAAGGTGGTAGCGGTGGGGATCTCCAGGGAAGACGTTCCTTCGGGAGTAGTAAGAAAGTGGGTGCTGTGATAGAGGTCGCTCAGTCCAATCAGAGCACTCGTGAAGAATTCCTTCACGGATTTAGTTTGATGGTATATCCTTCGTAGGTGGGATGCGAACGCCTCGTCGATCCATAGGCCCTGGAATTGCCCGCTAGGGTCAGCAAAACGTGGTCTGTGTGGTTATTTGTCGCGCAATGAGGCGCACTTACCTGCAGATAAGCTCTCCATCCTTCCAGTAAGCGGCTCCAGCTGTCAGAGTGGAGGACGGCTCGCTCTTTAGCATCAGCCAATTCGAGCAGTTCCGAAATTTCCTCGTCTTCCAGGTTAAGTCCGGCGAAGCAAATGTCCGAAAAGGTTTCTAGGGATCGTGGTAGTGGAACGTAGACGTATCGGTGGCTGAAGCGACTTTTGACTCGCTTCTCCAACATTTCCGTCACATCCACCTTGGTAGTAAGCCCAATCACTGCAATTGGGGCCTTGCGCGCCTGCGCGATATCAAACAGGTTGTACAGCAGTGTTTGGCGAGGGTGTGTAACAAACAAATCGAATTCGTCCAGAACAATGACGATGGACTTTGCAGCGGTCGCGGTACCTGATTCATTGGACGGACCATAGAGCTCCTCTGGGTGCGACAGAAGAGCAAGGAGTGTAGCCATGGTATCAGCATAGCTGCTAACTTTGCCAGCTTCGTCTTCAGTGTTTGTCTCACGGCCAAGCTGACGCCACATTTCGCGGAGCGCCAATCGGTCGTCTGTATGAAGGAAGCCATTAAGACGGACAACGTGGAAGTCATTCTTGTACGACTTTCCCAACGTCGAGATGATCGTCTCAACGATCGCGGTTTTCCCGCTTCCACGAGATCCAAGAAGTAGCATTGAGTTACCTTCACCGACAGCAACAGTTTGTTCGATCAAATGGTTGACCTTGTGGTACTCAGTCTCGAGCCCTTTCAGTGGCACCCGTCTCTTGCCGTTCAGCTTCTGCGTAACATATCCTGTCAGTAACCGCAGCTCCTCTGTCAGACCTTCTTGCACAAGCGCTTGGAGTTTCGCAGCATATTCTGGAAGCGGCTCCCCGTTGGCGGGAACGGTTTGCTCAGTGCTGGTCAAGTCATTGTTGGCAAGATCCTGTTGTAACTGCATCGACACGAGATCTTCCAGCCCATCCTGATAATCATCCGGCGTAGGAGATATCTGCGACTCATCCCGTCTCTTGGACGCATCGTCCTTATCCGTTTCGAACCGAACTGTGGCCTTCTTCGACCGCGTCCGTGTCGGTCGTCTTTTCGGTTGCGGAGACGGTTCGTCCTCGTCGTCCTCGTCGTCGACTTCTGCTTCCTCCTCTTCCTCGTCACCCTCCGTTTCCGAGACATATTTAGACCTGCGGGCGCTCCTCGTCGTTGACCCGTTCGCACCTGGTGTAGAAGCGTTTCTCCTGCCCGATGGCGTGTTCACGACCTCGTCTCCGTACCTCTGCGGCGCTCGGCGCTGTCGCCCACTCGACCGTAATCCACCCCTCGTAGGTGAATCTGTAGCTTGTACCTCGTCGTTCTCCTTTTCAATCACAGCGGCGCCCTGCGAAGATCGCCGCCGCTTTGATCTCGATGTAGCGGGCGTTTCTGGCTCTTCGGCTGCTGGAGACGCGGCTTTCGTCTGTTCGATTACTGGCGAGGTGGGTGCGTCTTGAGCGCCCTCGCCCATGGTAGTATCTCCATCTTCGTCAACCGCTTGTGCGTCCGACACCCTTCTCCTCTTGCTGGCGCGCGGGTCCTTCATTGTTTCGAAATGGGTATTGCGCTGGTGGGGGAGATTTGGCTGCACCACCCGTAACTGCGGGCGCAGTGTTGTGTCAATCGTCTATCGTTTCAGGGTATATTATGAGGAAAGGTCAATGGCGCGCATAGCAAACATCAGAGGTACGGCACTGGGAGCGGAGGGATAGATGCGGAGAAGGAAATATTTTTGGACTGCGACCGGGGAGATTCGAGGAGATCACTGGTCGGGAAGAGGGAACAGGAAATTAGGTGTTTGGTTAAGCAGAAAATATAATTAAGATAGATTTGATAGGAGCCACTACCAGCTATTCACATGGACTGAGCCGGTTCAATGGAAGAATTGTATTGATTGTTGACGGAGAGTCTCTCGGAGTCGGGCCAGGCACGGGAGCCTATCATGCCTGAGGCAGCCTGCATGATGCGAGGTCAGGTGCATCATCCTCGACAGACAAGCTGAAGAAGAACATAATGAAAAATACATACTAGCAACATCCTTCCAGAATCACTACAGACCTGTATAGACTATCTCCGACTTCTCTGAGGTTATCTCTCTGAAAGTGGGATAAGAATAGGTCCATGACGAATATTCCACCGGTCAGGATCACAAGCATCATGGCATAACTTGTATATCATGGCCCGAATTCCGGGACAAATACCCACGTTGAATCTCCCAACCAAAGAGATCGATGAAGTTAAAGACAAACAAGTGTTACAAAGAAAGGAACCGACAAGTCAGATACATAAAGCAGCTACATTAAGCTTCCAGGGCGAGTAGGACGTCTGTACGGACAAGCAGGTTTAAGGTCTGCCGGCAACCTCGGTTGTTTGGACCCTTATCCAAGGACATCGGACTATGAGAGATCACCCATGCTATGGAGTAATGTCCTCTTTTCTCGCTCAATTAGCTATAAAAGTAGAATTCCCCCCTAACCCTTTACAGGAATCTCATACTGGCAACCTAATCAGAAAAGACACGTGCCCAAAAATTAGTCACTCCATTCATACATACAACCGCAGCCATGGCTCCGACAACTCCCCTCCGACCATCCAAGATGCCAGCACCTAGCGTTCGTCCGCTATCCCAACTGACCCCGTTCGAGCAGCTCGTGCACAGCTACTCTACGGGGCCTCCTACACTAGATAAGAACGAGGAGGCACGTACTATACATCATTATCTTGTCCCCCATCCCTCATCCGCAAACAGCATGCTAACCATCCGCACAGGCCTGGGACTTCTTCCCGGACGAATGCAATCTCCGGTTCGAGTCCGCCACTCAGGATCCCCCGGCTCGTGTCTCGTATCTTCTCAAAGTAATTCCAAAGCAATGCAATTACCTCCAGAACCTGCATGGCGGGTGCGCAGCCACCATGATTGATATTCTGTCCTCGACATTGCTTCTAGCACTCTCCAAACCGGGCTTGTTCTCTTATGGTGGTGTGAGTCGGAACTTGAAGACTACGTATATCCGCCCAGTGCCGGCGGGAACGGAGATCCGGGTGGTGTGTGAACTGGTTCATATGGGGAAGCGGATGGCATTACTACGGGCGGAGATTCAGAAATTAGATGGGAGTGTCTGTGTCGTCGCCGAGCATGATAAGGCCAATACGGATCCCGCGGATATCAAGATCTGAGTTGGTCTTGGCGCATAATGATAGAAAGCAAGTTCTACACTGCAGATGTTTGTTAAGATAGAATTATTCACACGTCATGGTGCACCAGACACCAACTTTATCGGGTCAATAAATGTATATGCAGGCCCGACTACTACTTCAAGACGCAAAACCCAAGTGAGTGTGCGAGTCCAATAGTGGTATGATTCATGAGCGTAGAGAAAGTCCAAAAGGAATTAGGATGACTCGATTCAAAAGCGCCCGTAGCGTCAAGATATTACTTTACCCCAATATGCATTCCGCGGAGATTTCTTTACTCCTCCGCAAGCTTCTGGCCCTCCCGGAGACCCTCAACGACCAACTCCTCGCCCGTCGCGCGACGGTAGATGTCCCGCACATCGTCTAAAGAACGTCAGTTATCATCCTGCAGCTAGCCTGCCATGAGCGGGTTTCTTACCAGTCGTGGTCTCAAAGTGGGATGAAGGATCGTAGCTCTTCGAGATGAAGATGTTATCCTTCTCGCCGCTCTCGATAGGCTCATACAGAGGAATGGGGGCACCCATGAATGTCTCCTCGATCTTATCCAGGCGCTCGAACCCAGGCTCCAGCTCCAGGTGGTGGTTAGCATCCGTCTCGGCAATAGTGGAGACGATGGCAATGTAGTAGCCCTTGGGGCAGACGTTGTGAGCCGACGATACCATGGCGATGTAGATATCTGGTAAGGGTCAGCGCGAAAACAATCGCAAAAATCCTAGTCGATAAGCTTACCGTGCTTTCTGCCGACCTGCGACTGAGGAATGATCAGCTGCAGCGAGTCGCTGCCGTCGGTCTTGTCAATGGGGTGGTTTAGGATGCAAATGGCCTTCAGCAGGTAGCCGGTGACTCTGGCCTTTCCAGGGAAGTATGAGGGGTCTGCAAGAATCTTCTTGGTCTTGGTGGAGAAAGTCATAGACTCGGCCTCGTTGTCACGGTCCTTCATGGTGGCCTTGATGCCGGAAACCTTGCCGCTCTCGTCGTAGAGAACGTCATCAACGGAGGTGTTGAGCATGTAGGTACCTCCGTAGATAGCGGACAGACGAGCGAAACCCTGGGGAAGCTCGCCCAGACCGTAGAGAGGGTAGATGTAGGGGGACTTTCCGTAGCGTGCCATCGAGTTCACGTACAAGCGGATGCGGTTAATCGTCTCGGGAGCCATACCCGACTTGAGGATGTACTCATCGGAAGGATACAGGGCCATGGAGTGACCAACAAAGTCACGAGTGTTGTCCTCCAGTCCGAACTTGTCGTAGACTTCCTTCATTGTGCAGGTGTGGATGTTCAGGCCTATATTGCTTTAGCGCCGGCGCTACAACGATCAAGTGGTCTTGAACCAACCCTGGTGAGTGGAGGGGTCCTCCTCCTTGAATTCACCAACCCATTCCAGGAACTTCTTAGCTCTCCGCTTCTCGAACAGGCCCATGAGAGATGAGCGCAGAGCTTCACCAGCATCGGAAGGCACCTTGGCAACGGTAGCCTTGGGACCCTTGCCTTGCTGGACGTAGCTGCCAGCAATCTGCTTGAACTCGAGATATCTCGTAACGTCGGTGGAGACAAGGATGTTGGTCAACTCTCCGTTGGCCATAAGCAACTTGGGGACCAAGTCGATGTTCCAGTCGTTGACGCGACCATACTTCTTCCAGGGCTCCTCGCCGGGCTTGACGTTGCCGTACTTCTTGAACAGCTAAAACACGGGAGGTGTGTTAGTGAACTAGAATCAAAATAAAGCTGTTTCCAGCTCGTAGGGTCATTTATGGGCGCTTACAGTCTCAATGTTCACCGAGGCAGCCTCACTGGAGTCACGGTTAGTGGCGGGTGGGATGACGGATAGCTACCAAGAAGCTGCCCATCTTACCCTCCATAGTGGTCATTGCGATCGATGTGAAGCACCTTGTTTCCCTTGACACTAAGAACACTGTAGAACAAACTGTCAGTAACCTGCTGCAGTGAAAATGCAAGCAGCAAGGAGTCCCTACCCCGAGAGGACACACTCGGTCAACCCTGTGGAGGGGCGTCAGTACAGCTGTCGTCGAGCGGCGGCGGGGTAGCACATACCAGTGCCGAGCACCACAACATCATACTCGGGGGCAATCTCATCCATGGTGTAAGGTTTCAGACGGGAGGGCTATGAAGAAAGAATGTACAGGAAAGAAGTCTTAAAGCAGTCAAGGGGCACGCGGATGAGCAGCAGAGAGAGAAGATGTGCAGGAAGAAGGAGAGAAGGGAAGAGAGAAGATGCGGAGACGGCAGCGGTGAAGTTGAAGGGGAGGGCGAAACTGAAAGGAGGTCGCAAGGGTAGATTTGGCACCCCCCGCGGATCATCGATCAGGAAATATTGATTCGTTATTTGTCTTAACGCCCGCCAGCCCGGCTCCACCAGCCCAAATAACGTTGGCATTTCAGGGTGATTTTCTCCTTACGACCATGCAATTAATTTGATGGAGCAATCCCATCTTCAGTTTCGCCTCCTGAGTTCTCCTCCTGCCCCTTTTCCCATCGGTCGTGCCGCAGTGGATCGATCATGTCTTCCGCTTTCGACACAACTAATAGCTGGCCAGCTCCCTGACTATTGGACACACTATCTGCTCTCATCTCCCATATGGCTCTATAATGCACTAGTTATGAGAATTGACAGTCTAGATCTGGCATCCTTTCCGCCACGACCAAGTACAGTAAGTAGGGTTTTCGATGGAACTATAGACTACAAAACACCGGTTCTCGATAATCAGGTCGCCAAAATCAAACTCGTTAAGAATTCGACAAGGAGAACCAAAGAAAGTAATTGAAAAAGAAAGGGAAAAGAACAAACGTTGCCAATAATAAAAGAACATATACTACATACTACTACATACAAAAGTACAGACCAATAGTTTCTATCGGAGCTTCCAGATTCAACCCCCGGTCCCTTTTGTGATATCCCTCATAGAGCCGATGCCCTTACTCCTGGCTATCCTCCTGGGGCCGGTAGCCCTTTCTGTAGAGACGCTGTGCCTCCTCCCAGGCGTACCATCTTTCCCGAAGAACGTGCTTGATGCCGTTTTGCGTGACGCGAATCTAAGACAGCCATTCATTAGCACATTGAGCACCAAGGCGAGCAGCAGCCCATCAAATGTTGTATATAATTTTCGTAGTAAGACGGCTGTAGCTTTCAAGAGCCTTGAAACATAAACCAGCAACAGGACTGAACCTACCACACGATCCCGCTCAGAGGACTCCCACTCTCCATAACCAGCCTTCAATCTCTTCCTTTCCATGTCGCTCGTAGCTATGCGATTGCGCTCCTTGACGCAGACCCACCACAGGGAATGGAGATCGTCCCATGACTTCTCACGAAGTTCCTGAATAGACCACGAGCGGCCTAAACGATCAATAGTAAGCATCATAACGTCACCACAGCCTTATATGGTTCCAAACTAACCGCATTCAATGTCGTATGTCGGCGTACTCAAAGCGGTCCGGTCCGTGGGGAAGAAACCCCAGAGTCCATGGTCTGGTGTGGCATTGCGCTTCGGGAGAGCGTCTGGGGAAACCGGCTTAGGCAATGGGTACTTGGACACACCCAATTTGTACTTGGGGCCAGTGCGGTGAATAGCGGACACGCCGCGGACTTTGTTGAGATCACCACGGCCAGCGGCAACAGCGGCGGTGGAAGAAAAGTTCGAGCACTGGACGGTCGACCGGTTCATAGAGAAATGGAGAGACGGGGCGAGGTAGGGAGGAGGCAATTCGGCCAGCGGGAAAGCTCCGGTCTGGCGAGCCAGCCGTAAAACTGACTGACGATTCATTGTAACCGTAAAGCAGCCCTGTGACGGCGAAGGGACTCGGTGGAGGATGTCCTTGCGGCCTCCGGGATCAAAAGCGAACGGGACGGACTTTTGGCGCCTAGATCACGTGTGCGGCTGCGGCTGGTCACACTGTGCGACCAGTTGGAAACGACCTTCCTACTGCACATCGTGGGGAGAAAACTCGGGGCTGGACTGGTAAATGGGTGTAGATAGGTTATTCTACTACCCTGTGATTGGGTGTATCTACACTAGATGAACTCGATAGGAATGTCATATGTCGACAATGTGGGAGAAGATGCCGTTAGTGATGCTATTGATGACATAGATAGCTGGGAAGAAGACAATGCACATAATTTGCCATTCCCACACCTCGAGCGCTAGATATTCCCTAAGCTGCATAGTAATGTTATCGTAAGGAAAAGAAACCAGTAAATCCATGACCGAACTCCCCATCATCCACCTGGTCCAGTGCGTGGTCGTGTGGTCATGGTTACCAAAAAGCGTGGATGGCCGTGAATGGGCGGCTAATGGAGGTCCGTGCAGGAACCAGAAGCGCGCGTCTGCAGCCACTCCACTTCCCAAAGCCGGCGCAACACAGTGTGGGCAGAGATCCTGGCTGCACATTGGTTTCTTATCGTTCACATGCTGTACCACTGTTTTTCTCTAAATCACACTGCAGAGCTTTATTCTTTCATCTGTACTGCCCAACCGTCTCGTCTGCATCATGAATAGGCCAGGTTTGTGATTTTCACGTTCTTCCCTTTGTCCTCCCGATCGGGCTTGCTACGGCAACCCCAGCAGTCTCCGATCACTGCTTTCTCTCATGCCCATCCTCTTATAGCTTCATGGTGCCATGTGGAGGGTGGCTGGTGCTTGGTTTCGCGTCTTGCTATCCATCGGGCTTCAATTGCAAGCTCTCTTTCCAGATGGATCTTCCTCTGCGACCGCAATAGTCTTCCTCGTCACCATGCCAAGCCCCTCCCCCGGCTTTGGTGAAGCAGTCCCCCCCGAATTTGGCACGTTCACCTTGGCCATGTCGCTGATCACTGTTATGGCTTCCAGGACCAGGCCCCCAGCCCTTGCGAGGCATGTCCGGCTTCCCCGCCCAACAACAAGCACAAGCTCGAAATGCGGCGTTGGCATCGGCGCGCCTGCCAAACGGCAAACTTGGTGCGACTCATTGTCTGGGCTCGACTGGTAGATCCGCCTTGAAAGCTAACGGCGTCGGACCCAACAGGTAGCGGAGCGAATTGGAACTTCAACCTACCCGTCAGCGGAACACCGGGGATACAAGGCAACCAGCAGCGCAGCATTGGGACGATGGGAACATTTGCACAGAGCTTGAGCGGTTCTCAACCTGCTACTCCTCTTGACTTATCGTGAGTGTGGCTTGCTCTTCCTTTTAACTAGGTCTATGGATAGGCCTCCTGAAGGACACATCGAACTTATTGCTGAGAAACCTGGTTGTTCCTTCCAGAGACTTCCCTTCGTTATCTGGAGCGCCTCCGCAATCGCAAACCCAAAACCCGAGCCATCTAGTATGGGCGAACGCCAGCCAACGTGCGATGCAGCAGACCCCTGTGCAAAGGCCCCAGCATGCTACCTCCCAAGCACCCTCACGAGCCCCGCAGACTCAAACCCACCACCCGCAGCAGCAATCGCAACCCTCTCACGACGACGTATTTCCCTCGGGCGCTCAGTTCGCAAACCGCTTGGACGATTTCCGGAATGGTGGACAGGGTATCAGTGGTCAGTTAGGTGCCGGGGGGCAACCTCAAACCGGCAACATTGAAGAATTCCCCCCGCTCGGACGTAATATCACTACGGACCTCGGTCAAGATCGGAGAGGATCATTGATACAAAGTACAGGGCTTGGCAACTACAACGGTGGCCTTTCATTTACGGGCGTGAGCCAGGCTCAGTCTGCCCAAGCTCGCAACATGGTCGCTGCGTCGGTAAACGGACAAGAGCGGATAATGTCGCCTGCCACTGCAGGATCAGGGGGTATGTTTCGGTGACTCGGTCAGCCTGATCTCAAACTAAAGCTTCTGTTCAGGTATTGAAACGTCGCGATCGCCGGTGAATCAGGGGTCAAGCAGGGTCCCGGGACAAGAAAAGGAGGTAAGGGTCGCGACCAGAGACGCTTGTCGCTCCGTTGCTGACTTGAATTCAGGAATTGAACAGCAGTGTAATATCGAACCAAAGTGCTTACACCGAACAACAACACATTATGCGGCCGCCAGGGTTTCCCGCTACTGGGAAGGAAGCTTCAGGGGCTGCGCAAAGCTCTGATCAATTACCACTTGCCGAAATGAGCGAGCTCGACAAGTTTGGGCTGGCAGGCCTGTTGCGCATGATTCATAGCGATAACGCTGATGTCTCAAGTCTCGCGGTCGGACAGGATCTCATGACATTAGGTTTGGATCTGAATCAACCAGAGTATGTTCTGGCAATTTCTTGCACTTCGAAGGCTTTTTTCTCACACAGTCCCAGACCCTTACATACGTCATTTGCCTCGCCGTTCGTTGCCTCCATGCCAGGAGTTCCTCTGGAGCAAGATTTCGCTCTCCCGGCGTGCTACAACGTCGCCAATGTTCAGCCTCTCCAGACACGTATCCCGAGTTTCAGCGACGAGACCTTGTTCTACATATTCTATAGCCAGCCCAGAGATCTACTGCAGGAGGTCGTTGCGGAAGAACTCATGGGTCGGAAATGGAGGTACCACAAGATCGAACGGTGCTGGCTTACCCGCGATGAGACGTACCCCGGTCCTGTTGACGTCGATCGCGGCGTAAGTGAAAGGGGCGTCTACCTATTGTGGGATCCCGCCAGTTGGAAGAAGGTTCGGGTATGTCTACCCTCATCTCTGCTTGATGTCGTCCCTCTATGACTCGCATCCCGCATATACTGACCAGATGCTACAGCGCGAGTTCATTCTCCGCTACGAGGACTTGGATAACCGGATGGATCCAAACCGGGGTCTTGCACGAGTCGGATTTCCGCATAGTTCATGAATGTCTGAGGGGAACACACCGGGGAGGGGATAGGATCAAATGGCGTTAGGTTTACTGCCAGTTTTTCAGGTGACTGTTCAGGTGTTGCAGTATTGCCGAGCAACAGGTGTTTCTCTAAGCTTTAGTGGTCTATCCGGGATAAGGACATTCATGCGAATTCAATGACTTCTATGACCTCACTTTCTGGTGCTTCCAAACTAGTTGATAAACACGTAAAACAGACCATTTCCATTTATACTCACAGATGAGTCAATAACAGCCTCAAAGCTACTCTCAGCAGCCCAATTCATCCGGTCCAATTATCAACTAGGGCTTTCTCCCCACCGCAAGAACAGCCACCGGCTCCATCCTAATCACCCCATCAGCTCCAAACTTCTCCTCCAGATACTCCCTGATCACCACCGGTGCCTTCGCCTCATACTTCTCCCGCTGCTCGGGTGTCCAAAAGGCACCGGTCACAATGGGGATCATTCCTCCACCGACCTCCATGAATTCGGATATAGTCAATGAGGTCTCCCTCTGCACAGCAGTGACTTCCACATCTTCGAACCCTTCCTCTTCGAACCGAGCTTTCACGAAAGACTCGTCGTCCCAGCCTTCGTTATGCAAGGCCAGGAACTCTTTCATGGTGGGGAACTTGACGTTCCAGGGAGTGGTTTCGATGGCTTCTTTCATGATGACGAGCCACGAAGCTGATATGTCTTCTAGTTAGAGCTTGATAGAGCGACGGGTTGACCCGATCATGAAGGGGGAAATCAATGACATACAAGTCCTCCACGTCGAAGTCGCAAGTACACCCCCGGACTGGAGGATACGGAAGCATTCTACCATTAACAATCACACACTGTCAGCTTCACTTCAGATATCAAACCAAAATAACTACAATGGAAACCAGTAATAATACTCACCTCTCATCGCAGCCCTCGCATCAGGTATCATCATAAAAGCTACCCAGTCAGTCAACCACTCATTCCTTCAAAACATACCCACCCTCCATAACCTCCACGACGAACCACATAGATTATACCACTCACCAAAAGCCGTCAACACATGCGTATACTTATCCGCCGGCAGCCCCGTACGTTGAGCATCCACGACCTTCGCCTCAGCGTTCACCCACCCTTCCCTCTCAATTCGCAACTTGGTATACTCCACCATCAGCTTCGTTATATCCCCGCAAGTCAGCGTCCAATGTCTCTTGATGTCCTCAGGCAGCGTGCTGTTCAGATAGCTGGATACAATTCCCAGTCCGCAGGCATTGTCGAAGACAGCCATAGGTTTGTTACTCGGGGTAGACAGGATACCAGAGTGCTGGACGAGAGGGGCCACGAAGACGCCAGTGAGTTTCTCGGCGAGGTGGTAGCGGGATACAAATGCTGGGGTGAGGTATGAGGAGGGAGAGATTTTGGGGGTCATTTTGATGGATAGATGTGGACGTTCTGGGTAATGAACTGGGAGGGATAATGTGGAGGGTGTTGATTAGATGATAGTGGGAGAGATGAAAGTTAGTTTGGATGATGATGCCGGGAACGAGGAGAAGGGATATGCATGAGATGAGCACCTTTTTATATTGATTTTGGCTACCTGGTTGTTGCTCGTTCTACTGCTTGGCTGTGCCTTAGAGGCTCGAAGGATGGAAGTAAGTCTCCGATATGTCTCCGCGAGCACCTTGGTGACCGTCTCTCCGGGCTTAGATTGGATAGATGCATTATCAGCTGATGTTTTACGTTCTAGATCGGTCTTGGGGCTCATATTATGGATGAGAATGTATGGTTGGTCTGATCAGGTGGTAGAGAAGTCTTCCGGACTGTTCCTATACTTCCATCCCGTCCTTCCATGACGAGGTATGCTAAATTCCATGGACCAGAGACTGAGCACACATCGCATAATCTATCGGAGAAAAAGCAGAACCTAAATTAGAATGAAAGGTCGAAAAAGAAAAAATTCTCATATGATAAAAAAAAATGCAGAAAGAAAAATAAAGAAAAAAGAAACGTCCCGGGAGAGGATCGAACTCTCAACCTCACGATTAACAGTCGTACGCGCTAACCAATTGCGCCACCGAGACGACTCGTCAAAGAACTGCGCCATTGTTTGCTATATCAGGGGCATGTATTGGTGACGTTATGATGGCTACCACCACTCCTATACAGAAGTGGTTGTCCTGAGCAGTCCTTGGGGATGCTTATCTATTTGAATCGATCTAATGGAGTGATAATCGCAAACATTTTCTAGGCTTCCGGTGAGTACTATCATATTTTCAAGAAGGTCTCTGGAAGGTTATAGTGAGTAAATATTGATAGGATAACGATGTCGTGCAGTACTCGGTCTGGCATAGCTTTGTCTTGGCTTATGGGGGCACTAGGGTTTCTGTTGCTTATACCGTGCTTGATTTCCCCGTTTCCTGCTTCACTGCGTCACATTTACTTGTTTGCTCCCAGCGTCTAGCCACGCCTGCGGTGAAATCTCTTCTCTCCACTGTGACTAAGAGCGAATGGCCTAATGGAATGGATTCCTTCAAGTTTGATATCTCAAATGGCTCGTGCATAGAATGGACTCTATTCTGATCCTTGGAAGGAAATCTCTAGCCAGCAATTAGAGAAATGAGTGAAGAGTGTGCAGCGAAGGCTTGGGCATGTTGCTGGAATTGGGTAATCTGGGAAGATCAGATAAAAGCTTTCCTTGGCAAATGACCTGAACCCGCGGGTAACCACCACAGACCCATGCAGCTCTGCATAACTAAAAGTGCTGATTTATCCCAATCAAGCACTTTTTCGTGACCATAAATCAGGCCTATCGGCATGTTTGCATTGTCTGCCAAGACACGGTTATAGATTAAAGCCTGTGCTCAACCCGCGGGTTTCCTCGGGGTCTTGCGTTGATCGGAGGCTTCGTTACTTTCCTGCACGAAATGTATGAATGCATACTATTAGTACAGAAAGAGATAGCACTGAAAGCTGCTTCTAACATCCTAAATCTCAGAACATGTAAACGCATAAGTGGGAGAAACTTTTATTATATTCCACTGGGCTGCTGCCAGTTCTGCACCAATGCACCGACGAGGGCTCTGATATAAATAGTCGGCATAATCTGAATTGTGGACCCAAGCATTGCACCTGGGCCCCACGGACCCCCAGAAGCCTATTTTTGTTCGGGATTGGAGAAACACATACTAGTGGCTAAGGCACAGGACCCTTGAAGATGCGCCCCATACTTATCCTTACTTGCACACTTCCGAAAGTTTTATACTTCCTTCGCATCATGTCACTTTCATGCTCATTCCCTCCTTCACATTCGTTCACACTCGTTCAACTCCTTTCTATCGTTATCCAATGGTCACAGGAACGGCCATTACCACTTCATCGATATAATTGTCTTTCTATCTTACGTGATAGAAGCGCCTCTCGCTTATGATAGTTTCCCAATTTGCCAGTCGAAATTCACTATGAAGTTGTCTACTATTCTTGCCGGCACAACCCTCCTTGCCGGTATTACTATGGCCGAACTGGACCCTATAGTGATCAAGGTACGAGTTCGAGACAAAGCAATCCTACCATGCTTGTTTATCTCATGCCCTCTTCTGGTCGCTGACTGCTCTTCTAGGGTAGCAAATTCTTCTTCAAGAGCAACGATACCCAATTGTATGCGCCCTTCATACGTACGATGTAAAGCTAGGCTTTTACTAACTGACATGCCTTTAGCTACATGCGTGGTGTTGCCTATCAGCGTAGGTCCACTATCATGGTTTTGTTGGATAATTTCTGATGTACAGGCTGACCAATCCCTATAGAAGAACTGCCCAGCAGTAGTACTGGCGGCACCTATTACAAAGACATTCTGGCCGATACTACCGCCTGCAAGCGAGATGTTCCCCTCTTGCAGGAACTCCGCACTAACACTATCCGTGTCTATTCGATCGACCCTGAAGCGGACCATACTGAGTGCATGAAGCTCCTCACCGACGCCGGCATCTATGTTGTGGTGGATATGGCGCAACCTGCGGAGTCGATCAACCGTAACGACCCATCGTGGGATAATGCCCTGTATAAACGCTATACTGATGTGGTTGATGAGATGGCTAAATACACTAACACTATTGGGTTCTTTGCTGGGAACGAAGTCTCCAACCAGAAGAACAACACTCTTGCTAGCGCATTTGTGAAGGCTGCTGTGCGCGATATAAAGCGATATATCAAAGCTAAGAACTATCGCGCCATGGCTGTTGGGTATGCCGCCAATGACGACGCTGAAATTCGTGTGGATATGGCCAACTATTTCAACTGTCAATCAGAGGAAGAAAGTATTGATTTCTGGGGCTACAATGTGTACTCGTGGTGTGGAGACTCGTCTTATGAGAAATCTGGCTACAAAGCTCGTACTGAGGAATTCGCCAATTATTCCGTTCCAGTGTTCTTTGCCGAGTATGGTTGCAATCTTGTCGAGCCTCGCAAGTTCACTGATGTGGCTGCTCTCTACGGTGACCAGATGGCGAAGGTTTGGTCCGGGGGTATTGTCTATATGTACTTCCAGGAAGCCAATGACTACGGTATGTTTAAGCTTTCTATTTTTCCGCCTGACCATCTTCCCTAACGGAATCCATAGGTTTAGTAACCCTTAAGGGTGATACTGCCAGCAAGCTCCCCGACTTTTTCGGCTATTCTAAGCAAATTGCAAGCGTCAATCCTACAGGTGTCAAGAAAGCCGACTATTCTCCTTCCAACACAGCTCTTGAATCTTGCCCTACTATTGATGGCAACTGGTTTGCTAGAGCTAGTCCACTACCCCCTTCTCCTAACCCCGATCTTTGCACATGCATGGATGCCTCCTTGGAATGCGTGGTGAAGGACGATGTTTCGAATAAAACCTTTGCCGACCTTTTCAATACCGTCTGTGGCTATGGGGTTTGTGATGGCATTTCCACTAATGCAACTTCCGGTGAATACGGCTCCTACAGCGTGTGTAGTGCGAAGGAGAAATTGTCCTTTGCTTTCAACAGATACTATCAGGAACAAAAGGCCAAGGGCAACGCTGCGTCCGCTTGTGATTTCGCTGGCGCTGCGAGCACTAAAATCCCGAAAAGTCCTAGTAGCACTTGCTCTAGCCTGCTCGACGCCGCAGGCGCTGAAGGGACCCGCGCAGTTACTGCTTCTCCGACCGGTGGCTCTGTTCTGAACTCTCCATCTTCCAGTACTGGTGCCGCCCATCCTATGGCAACTGTTAGCAGCGTAAATATTGGGCTGTGGCAGCTTGGCGCCTATGCAGTAACAGCGTTTGTCGCTGGTTTCGGGATGATTCTTCTATAGGTATTTTCTGAATACTTGGACTTGCGTTTTTCGATATCTTCTTTGAGTTGACTGCACGAATTTGGCCATTTCGATCATTGCTCCTGTTAGAGCCTACCCGGTCCTACTTCGCTTTCTGTGTTTTTCTTATTGTAGTTTATATCCAATTCACTCATTAAGATAGACATATGTTGACACGAAGTCGGAAATTTGTACCCTCGGCTTTTGCAATCAGGTGCATCAAGCAGTGTCCTTCTCCCTTTCCTTCAACCAGATTCTAGTTATAACCCACAAATCTGCGTGCCACACCTTCACCACTCCTTGGCGCTCAAATAAGTCTAGACTTTCCTCGCGGATTTATACAATATCAAAACAGTTTTCCAATGCAATTTCGCGTGCTTTTCTGATATTTTACCTGTAGCTCTCAGTGCCCACCCGTGACAGATGCCAAGTAGCATATTCTTCCACGGCTGCCTCGAGAAGTCCAGGAACGTTGTTCAAATCATTTTTAATCGAGTTTGGAGCATCTTCAAGCGCCCAGAAGGAAGAGCCCGCGGGTTGGGGTGAACTGTGATGGCAGGATATTAATGTTTATTTGCGGAGGCGTCGAGCCAGACGTGAGGCTGCTGGTAGATTTATTAGGTTTTAGAAGCCGTTGCTGCTCTTCTGTATACAGCTGTTCCTGTATTCTTATCGGGAATATTATTATGAATCTCCAGGATACCACCTTACTCCACATATTGGACGAGGCTGATGGAGGAGATCTTGTCACATGAGTATCTGCTTATTTATCGCTGTTCCTTCAAATATCAGTTTTTTAAACCGCTTTGTAAGATCGTGCCGTGAGTGATTGTTTACAGAAACAATAACTGTAGTATCATCAAGTCTGACACGCCTGCCATGGTTTATTTTCTGATGTAGCAGACGTTCAGCTTCCTGTCCTATTTTCTCCCAATACAGACTGGGCGTTGAATCTAGTTCTTGTTCCGTATCTTCTACCAAAACTCGATGGTCCAAAGTCACTCTCTACTCGATTACGTATGGAACGTAAGACCGGCGTTCATCGTCTGTTGAACTGCTATCAGAGCCAACAACATCACGGAATAATTACACATAAGCAGACTCAGGGGTGTGCTCGTATATGACTGAGGCACGGTGGGTAGCATGTATAGGACGACACCACTATTACGTTGATTGACGGCCGTTAGCACAGAAGTACGGCAGCCAAACTGACAGCTTGTCTGCGAGTCTACTATCCGGCTCGGCAAGGCGGGGAAAAAGAGTATAACAAGGTTAATCCAAAAATGGACGAAAAAAAGAAGCGTCCCGGGAGAGGATCGAACTCTCAACCTCACGATTAACAGTCGTACGCGCTAACCAATTGCGCCACCGAGACGACTTTGTTGGATTGCCGAGTCTTCTAATGTTACATAAGGTAAAATGTTGATGTCGAGCATCTTTGCATTCAATGTAATAGCTAGTTAATATATAGTTTGTGCAGACTGGGACCCGTGTATCTGCCGTGATCCCATATTGCTAGCGGTAATAGGCGCATGTTGATGAAGCCAACGGAAGGAATCATCTGCAGTCACCAGAATGTCTATATATTTGCAGTGCTCAAGTCAATCATGCTGACGATGAGAAATGGCTTCAGTTGTAGCCATCTCAGGCCTCGGAGGATGCCCCAAATGTTATTTCGAAATTGGCACTCCGTCCCATGGCGCCAGCAAACAAACCTATCACTCAAGGGATGACACAAGCGACCGTACTACTGAGTAACTATATTGTCGCTTTCTAGTCATGCAATCGAGATGGAATTCGATGCTGCAACACGCGGTGGTGGGTGTCAGCACGCGGGCTACTGTACTGGTTACATACTTAGTACTCTTAACAACCCTTTCTGGTATGGGTGATGGTGGCCTGTGTGGGATAGAAACCGGATGATAGGGGAGATGGTCAGTCATCTAGACTAGCAGTATGGCTGTCGCGGCAAGTATGGTTTCAATGGTCAGCGTCTGCTCTATTTCCGTCGTCGTGGGTTCGACCATGTTTGTAGGCTTGCATATGCGACGGTCTGAAATGGCCTACTATCATCACTGCATATGCCTTTTGCAGTCGCTGTTCAACGCAACCCCGGCCTTTGTCGGAGTGGATCGAAACCTTCCAGTGGCCATATTCCTCGGGATAATGAACAGTACCTGGAGTGATGATTATTGCCCTGGGCATCTGGGTTTGCGGTTCTATATGGTTTTCAGGCTTTCGATGAGGGGGCGGAAGGAAGCAAATGAGGTCTTTAATTAGCAATTAACAAACACATGTATGTGTGCATTTGTTCAGGCCAGGTGTCCGGCGAGTCGTGCATGCTGTGCAGGAGGGGAGGGGATGAAAAACAAAAGGCTGACGGCAGACGGGAAAACATCAGGTATACAAAAAGTGAACGTCCCGGGAGAGGATCGAACTCTCAACCTCACGATTAACAGTCGTACGCGCTAACCTTTATATTGAATTAGTAACTGATTGGCTATGTGATTTTGATGAAGGGCAAGCTTACCAATTGCGCCACCGAGACAACTTGTTGGTGCCGGCGATTGGATTAGGTATCGTCAATGCCTGTTGCAAAAAAGTGTCAGATATCAGGCAAAGGCCCACATCACCCATTTGCTCTCCAACTCATGGTCTGAACATACTAATGCCAACTGTATACTAAGTATATATACGCTCGAGAATACCCTCAATGGCCCCTGTGCTGCTTGGTTATCCCTGCAAGCCCACTCAACAGTATCATGCCGTGGTACCGGTAGTAATATACATTGCTGAAAGTCGGGACCCAGCCATTGTGGTTTTATATATCCGCCGCAGGGATGCATACCCGCAGCTGGTAGTAATAGTTGCAGATACCACCAGGGCTTTCGAAGATCTTGCATAGAGGTAGACCGAGGACCAGGGCATCACTCTGGCAGGACCGGACCCCGAAGATGGATATATGACGAGATCTACGATACCACCCCCGAGAACGGCGGCGCTGCTATCCCGATGATAACGAACAAGAAACCACACACATACCCCTCTCCTAGGTAAGTAACCCAACAACCACACAGGGACACCGAGGCCCAGAATACCACAAGTATGCAAGCACTCCTCACACACCATCGAGTGCCACAGCCGTGGATGGATGAATGGAGAGCGTAAGCATAGTGTATAACAAACCCCACACGGTGTTGGTCGACCAAGCATACTCGGTATCATGCCGTGCTAGCCCAAGGGCATGGTTTATCGACCAACAAGCCCAGGACCGCACTAAGCGCCAAAATGGAGGCCAAAAAACAATATGACCGAACAGTGAGAGATATTATCACTGAAGGCACAGCCACACCTTTGAACGGAGGCAAACCACGGATTTTACACGCAATTCCAAGTCCGATATGGAGTCGGCAAAATGGAGAGCAGGAAGAGCAAGACATGGTTCTACTATGTAGGAAGATCACGATCCAAGCAAGAGAAAAAATGGAGACAAAAAAGTGACGTCCCGGGAGAGGATCGAACTCTCAACCTCACGATTAACAGTCGTACGCGCTAACCAAGTGCGCCACCGAGACCTCTCGTTGAGGATGCAGCTTAATTATAGCTACATAGGCCAAATAAACCATCTAAGGCTGATGCCAGAATGTCTCACGTGTAACCCCTCCATGATTACATTATCACGATAGCGCGCACCAACCCCGAAAGAGCAAACCGTAAACAGCGCTGGGCCCCGACGGCAAAACACCGCCCGCAAAATCGCTCCCCAGACGTCAATCAATCCCGCAACTGTTCCCTCGGTCCCCCCTCCCATGCACCTGATCGTCTAGTTCATGGGACTGGATCAGAGTCGCAACGATGAGGATCACGGAGATTATTATTGACGTAAGTTCGTGTTCTCCGTAGCCCGGAGATGTGCGATTGCTGACTGAACACAAAGGGCTTCAAATCGTACGCCGTGCGTACGGTGATCTCAGGATGGTATGCACGGATTGGGACGCACTTCAATGTGCAATTTGTCTGCCGATGACAGACCTAACACTTCTTTCATAGGGACGAATCCTTCAACTCCATCACCGGTCTCAACGGTAGTGGTAAATCAAACATCCTTGATGCCATCTGTTTCGTCCTCGGTATCACGAACATGTCCACTGTTCGCGCGCAAAACCTGCAGGATCTCATCTACAAACGTGGTCAAGCCGGTGTGACCAAGGCCAGTGTGACGATTGTCTTCGATAACCGCGACACCGCGAAATCGCCGATCGGATTCGAGGAATATGCGACAATTTCGGTGACTCGGCAGATCGTTCTTGGAGGTACGAGCAAATACCTCATCAATGGACACCGTGCGCAGCAACAGACCGTGCAAAACCTCTTCCAGAGTGTGCAGCTGAACATCAACAACCCCAATTTCTTGATTATGCAAGGTCGGATTACGAAGGTCCTGAATATGAAGCCCGTTGAAATCCTGTCTATGATCGAGGAAGCAGCTGGTACACGGATGTTCGAGGATAGGAGGGAGAAGGCTGTGAAGACAATGGGCAAGAAAGAGCTCAAGTTGCGCGAAATCGAAGAGCTTCTCAAGGAAGAAATCGAGCCCAAGCTGGAGAAGCTGCGGTCCGAGAAGCGTGCTTTCCTCGACTTTCAACAGACCCAGAATGACTTGGAGCGCTTGACCCGCTTGGTGGTTGCTCACGACTATCTCAGGGGCAATGAGAGGCTACGGGTTTCTGGAGAAGAATGCGAGCAAAAGAGAAACAAGGTGCAGGCGCTGGAAGACAATGCGGCCAAGCTGAAGAGCGAGATTGCTCACCTCGAGGAGGATGTGAAGCGGGTCAGAGCAGCCCGCGATAAGGAACTACGGAAGGGTGGTAAATTCCAGGCTCTGGAGGATGAGGTCAAGTCCCACTCTCATGAGCTGGTTCGGTTGACCACTGTTTTCGACCTCAAGAATGCCAGCATTGCTGAAGAGAAAGAGAAGAGGACAGAAGTCCAGAAAACGGTGACTGATCTGGAGAAGGTCCTCAAGGAGAAGCAAAAGGTTTACGATAAGCTGCAGGCGCAGTATGATGCCGCTAAAGCAGAGCTTGACGCCCAGACAGCTGAAGTGGAGCAGAAGGAAGAATTGCTCCAGACCTTGCAGACTGGTGTCGCTTCAAAGGAAGGTCAAGAAAGTGGTTACCAAGGCCAGCTTCAGGACGCTCGTAACCGTGCTAACACAGCCGCGACTGAACAAGAGCAGGCCAAACTCAAGATCGCGAACTTGGAGAAGAGGATCAAGGAAGAGGAGCCACGCGCGAAGAAGGCCAAGGAACAGAACTCTGGTCTCCTGAAAGAACTGGAGGGACTGAAGTCGCAAGCTAAGAAGCTTGATTCGGAACTTTCTAGGCTAGGATTTGAGCCGGGTCGCGAGGAAGAGCTTTACCAGCAGCAGACTGAGCTCCAGAAAGAGATCCGTGAGTTGCGTCAGAAAGCAGACGGCCTCCAGAGGAAGGTTGCAAATGTCGATTTCAACTACACTGATCCCCATCCTCACTTCGATCGTTCAAAGGTCAAGGGCCTGGTTGCGCAGCTCTTTAGCCTTGATAAGGAGAAGCTCCAGGCTGCTACAGCACTGGAGATCTGCGCGGGTGGCCGTCTGTACAACGTTGTTGTCGACACTGCTGAAACCGGTACTCAGCTGCTTCAGAAGGGTAGACTGAAGAAGCGTGTGACTATCATTCCTCTGAATAAGATCTCCTCGTTTGTTGCCTCGGCAGAGAAGATTGGAGCAGCGCAGAGGATTGCTCCCGGGAAAGTTGACCTTGCCTTGTCGCTCATCGGCTATGACGAGGAAGTTACTGCGGCAATGAATTACGTCTTCGGCAATACCCTTATTTGCAATGATGCCGACACAGCTAAGCGGGTCACTTTCGACCCTTCCGTCAGGATCAAGAGTGTGACGCTTGAGGGTGATGTCTACGACCCGTCCGGTACTCTGTCCGGAGGTAGTGCACCCAACACGAGCGGTGTGCTTGTCACCCTGCAAAAGTTCAATGAGATTACTCGGGAGATCCGGAGCAAGGAGCGGCAGCTGGCTACTGTGGAGGAAACAATGAGGAAGGAGAAGAAGAAGCTTGATGCTGCTCGTACAATCAAGCAGGAGCTGGACCTCAAGACCCACGAGATTAAGCTTACGGAGGAGCAAATCAGCAGCAACTCGTCTTCCTCGGTAAGTCTCATTTTGTTATGCTCTTAGACGTACAACTGACGAAAGCAGATCATTCACGCCGTAGAAGAGATGAAAGCGAACATCGAGCAGCTGAAGAAGGACATTTCTGACGCAAAGACTCGCCAGAGCGAAGCATCCAAGGATATCAAGCGGATCGAGAAGGATATGAGCGAGTTCAACGACAATAAGGACAGCAAACTTGCGGAATTGCAGTCTTCCTTGGACTCCCTCAAGAAGGCTCTGGTCAAGAACTCCAATTCAGTCAAGACCCTGCAGAAGGAGCTTCAGAACTCCCGGTTAGAGTTGGAGCAAGTTGGTGGTGATCTGTCGGCGGCCGAGGAACAAAGCGCCGAGGCCGATAGCACCCTTAAGGCTCAGATGGAAGAAATTCAGTCGCTGAAGAGAGAACAAGCTCGGATCAAGGTGAGAGAATACTGTTAGGGCTTAAAGACCAATTACTAATGATCCTTAGGACGCCCATGATATTGCTCAGGCTCACCTGGAGGACGAAAGAGCTAAGCTGACCGGCTTTGATGATGAGCTGCGTGAACTCGAGCGGACGAAGCAGTCGAAGAACTCCCAACTTACGGAAGAGGGTCTTGAAGTCCAGAAGCTGGGACATCAGCTCGAGAAACTTCAGAAGGAGCAACAAGCCGCGGCGCAGACGGTGGCTCACATGGAGGAGGAGCATGAATGGATCGCTGACGAGAAGGATAACTTTGGACGGTCCAACACGGCATACGATTTCAAGAACCAGAATATCGCCGAGTGCAAGTCGACCCTGCGCAACCTGACGGAGCGGTTCCAAGGAATGAAGAAGAAGATCAACCCTAAGGTGATGAACATGATCGACAGCGTCGAAAAGAAGGAGGCTGCACTGAAGAACATGATGAAGACTGTCATTCGCGACAAGAGCAAGATCGAAGAGACCATCATCAACTTGAACGAGTACAAGAAGGAGGCTCTCCACAAAACGTGGACTAAGGTCACAGCCGACTTTGGACAAATCTTCAACGACCTGCTGCCCGGCAGTTTTGCCAAGCTGGAACCCCCCGAGGGCAAGGATATCACTGAAGGTCTGGAAGTCAAGGTGTCTCTGGGCAAGGTCTGGAAGCAGAGTTTGACCGAGCTGAGTGGTGGACAACGGTACGTGGATTTCCGATGGGGTATTATTTGGCTACGGGCTAACTTTGTCTAGGTCTCTCATCGCGCTTTCGTTAATCATGGCGCTACTACAATTCAAGCCGGCGCCAATGTACATTCTGGACGAGGTCGATGCCGCTCTGGATCTGTCGCATACCCAGAACATTGGTCGGTTGATCAAGACGCGATTCAAGGGATCGCAGTTCATTGTTGTGTCGCTGAAGGACGGCATGTTTCAGAATGCCAACCGGATCTTCCGCACAAGGTTCAGCGAGGGAACCAGTGTGGTCCAGGCCTTGACTCCTGCCGACATGAAGTAGACCTCAAGCCGGGATTGTTATTCTTCATTTGTCGATATTGCGTTGGTGCATATGGGTCTTTTGGTTTGGACATTGGACATGGCGCGTTATGTGACAGGCCAAGAGGTTGGGACGGGGTGTTTTCGGATGATGTACATGATTCTGGATGATTCTGCAGTTTCTACACCGTACTCTTATGAGATATGTTAATGACGGACGCAAGGAGATCTCCGTAGAGACAGCGGTAGGATGCAATTAAGTACCTGGTTACTATATAAAGGGCGACCAATTGCTGGCATCATCTGCCACAACATCGGGTGAATGCCAGCACGACACGGCCTTCCTCGGTTGTCTGCCACCTTGTCCCGTTGAGTAGATCGTCGTTCTTCCTCCCCTTTTCTTGGTGGGAGAGTTTATTTGCTTTTTCTCACCTTTTTCCCCTGGCCAAACAGCCCCGAAACTCAAGCACCGCCGCACTCGGTCAACGTGCCCGCCCCGATCCGGCCGGGATCCGAGTGTCCCACCGCCACCTCGCCGCTTTCCCCCCAAACGAACTGCCGCGGCATCACTCCTCCTCCATCCCCAGCATTCTATCCAACGCCGCCTTGTTCTGGGCCTCGAGCTTTACCTGTTTCATTCCGTCACCTTCAAGGCGGTCGCATACGCTAGTTTCGAGTCGCGATTCCCCATCCGACCCAACCAAGAGTCCACGTTTCGTCCCTTACCCTCTACCTCGCCCATAGAGATCGTCACGACAATGCCAGAAGAAGAGCCGTCTCTGAACATCCCCTCTCTCCTCACCCTCGCTGTGGTGTCATTCTTCGTGCTGCGATGGTTTCTCAACCGCGATGGAGGAGAGGCCGGACCCGGCAGCAGTCGCAGTCGGGCGCGAGGCACCGTCGACCCAGCCCAAGTCGAGCAAATATCCCAGATGTTCCCTCAGCTCAGCGCCCGTGAGATCATGTGGGATTTGCAGCGCAACGGGGGAAGTGTTGCGGCGACAACGGAGAGAATCCTGACCGGTCGGGGCCTGGAAGTGGTGAGTTTATTCCCTTATTCCTTCCTCTGTTGGATGTATCTTGACCCGCGCCGCTGGTCATTCATCATCTGCTCCTCTTTCTTCCCCTATCTTGTTCCCCCGCATTGAGTCAGATGCATAGCCAGCTAACCGAAACTACCTTGTAGCCGCCCCCATCCTTCCAACCTCAGATCGCTATCCCCACTACGGCCCCTGTTCAATCACAACCCACTCAAACGGCGACCTCCAAGGCCGATGCCCAGGACCTGATCTCCCGCTATAATCTCCGCGCGAAACTCGAGGCCGAGAACAGCGCCGCCGAGTCCGCGCCGTCGCAGGCTTCTTCCACGACGGGCTGGTCGCAGAGCAAGGAGGAGCGCCAGCGCTTGTTGCAGAAGCGGAGGGACGAGATGATTCTGGCGGCGCGGAGGAAGATGATGCAGAAGGATCAGGCTGCTCAATGAAGCTCGCCGGGCTTTGGGGGCTGGAAACCTAAATCTACTATCTGGGGCCCCGGTATTGCGCGTCATAGGGGTAGGTAGACTGACGGCTTACTCGAAAAGGGTGTTTATTTATGCCTTTCATTCTGTATCCAGTTGGATCATTTTTGCATGCTTCTTCTATCTCCTTCGGGTTGTTATATACCTCTTGTCGTCGGCGTTGGGGATGTAAGATTCAATCCATTGTTTCCGGCATTTTTGTTGTTTTCATCTGTCTTCCGGAGATTGACTTGTCATGTCCTTTTCTATTATCTTCCCTCTCCTCTCTCTCTCATTTCAAGCTGAGCGTCGCATGCATCTGGTGTTCTTGATAGTGGGATTGATTGGGACTACTTACTACCTATCTACTACCTGCTTACTAGCATGACAACCGGCCCATCAACCAAGTAACTTCCAACCAATGATATAGGGTATATATACATACATGTATCTGATGTATGTGCGATGCCAATATGATCATGTCCTGCCATGTCCCATACATATAGACTTGACACCAATAACTCCCATCATGTAACAAACAACGAACAATGAACCAACCCACGCATTGCAAATATAAAGCAAGAAAAGAAGAAGCATCTAAAACTCCATTTCATCATCATCGTCTTGTGTCCCATCATACCCCCCATTCGCCATTTCCTCTGCCATCTCTTCTCTCCTCGCCTGTTCTTTGGACGCCCCGATGCGCCTATCGACATGACTCGTTAGCAATCCACCTCCAACAACGAAGTTGAAACAAAAGAATAGAAGAAGTGACAAGGGCATACCTCAGTCCATCCACAACCCCCGCAATGAACCTCCTCCCCTCTCCCAACTCCATAGCTCCCACACCCGTCAACGCAACACCCCCACCCCCCATAGCCGCCGCATCTAGGACATCCACACCCGCCCTAACCTTCGCCATCCGCACTTCCCTCAGCTCCTTCAACAGCCGTCTCGTCTGATCCGGATCCACAAGATCATCGCTCGCCGCCTCCAGCAACATTGTCCCTACCTCCAACCAATGGAACGGTAGTGCCGGTGGCTCGCCCGGCGGGATGTGATCGCGTGCTGTATTCTGAGGCAGGAACGGCGGCGCAGGGTAGTATTTCTCGCCGGAGGGAGTGTAGCGCGGGGTTGCGAGCGGAGCGCGACGGTGATCTCCCGGGGCGGGCTGGCCGGGCAGTGGAGGTGGCGGAGAGAAGGCGTGCTGGTATTCGTCGTTTTGGGTCTCGATTTCGAGGATGAGCTCCAGAGATTCGGGGTGGAGCCAGGGTGGCGGGAGGATGTTGGCACGGCGTTGGCGTTTGAGGAGGAGGGCGAGCCAGAGGGGGAGGGAGGTGCGTCGGGGTGGGAGGAGGGGGGAGACGGGGCCCTATTGGAAGAGTTGTTAGCTGTGATTAGTAGCGGAAGATGTGTGTATAGGACGTACTCCCAGTAATTCAAGCCCCTCGAGTCGCTGACGAGGCAAGATGGTGACCATCTCCATCTCCGCGAGGAAGGAGATCTCCGGGGGCGTGATGCCCCGCGGGAGGGGAAAGGCCATTGCCCCTCACGTTTGCGCGTGGATTGGCCGAGGGAAAGGGGTTAGGGACGTGTCGGGGCAGTCGGAGGAGAGTATTTCATGCCCCGGAGTTACTTTGCGGACCGAATGAAAGAAGGAAAGCTTGAAGTTGTTCATTCAAATTCGATCGCGATGGGCGTCGATTGCCCGATGCGGTGTGTTTGTTCGGTTTGCACTGCAAGCTTGCATTTCCGCTCGTGTCTTTTAGATTAATTGATCTATTCTTCTTCTTCTACACACTTCAATTGTTGAGCATGGTTGACCTCCTGCCTAAGAATTGACCGACATGAATGCGCAACCCAAGTCGGGCGTGGCATTGGCCGCCCGCTACACCATACCTTTTGTTCTGCTGTTAATCCCCTTTTGGATGACGAGGATCAATGCCGTCGTTCCCGAACCGTATCTGGATGAGGCCTTCCATGTCCCCCAGGCTCAGGCCTACTGGGCTCATAAGTGGACGCATTGGGATCCCAAGATCACCACTCCCCCGGGACTTTATCTTTGGTCCTATGTGCTGTGCGCTATCGCGCTCTTCCTGCGCGGTTCCCCCACGCAGCTTACCCCGGAAGCTTTGCGTGCGACCAACGTGGCAGCCACCGCCGTGGCTCTGCCGTTGCGATTGCAGACGTTGTTGGATCGGCTGCGCAAAGTACGCAACACGCGTCCCTCTGGAGCATGGCTAAGCCATACCGTTCTGAACATCTGCCTGTTCCCGCCACTGTTCTTCTTCTCCGGCCTATACTATACCGATATTCTTGCGCTGCTGGTGGTCATTGAGGCGTACAACTGGGACCTGAAACGCTCGTCGCAGGGTGGCTTTGCCCCGCTTCAGACTTTGGTGTTTGTCGTGCTGGGGCTGGTGGCGCTGGTCTTCAGACAGACGAACATCTTCTGGGTGGCGATCTTCCTGGGTGGGCTGCAGGTCGTGCGGCGGTTGCGGTTATCTTCTAAGAGATGCGAGGCGTCGGGACTCGCGGATATTGCTCAGGCAGGGTGGAAGAACGAGCTGTATGATCCGTTTGTGTCGGAAGCTTCAATTGGAGGTTAGTGTTGTCGTTGTGGTGTGTTGTAGCATTGCTGACTGAGGTAGACTACTTCAAAGCGTCTGTTTCGCTGGTGGTTGTTGCCGTGAACAACCTCGGCACGGTGATTACCTCTGCTCTTCCGTACTTGCTTATACTTGCTGGGTTTGGAGGGTTCGTGCTGTGGAATGATGGTGTCGTTCTTGGTAGGTCTACTACGGGTTGTGTTGCAGGTGCTAGGCTGACAACTGCAGGACACAAGGAGTACCATACTGCTGGGCTGCATCTGCCCCAGATGCTCTACATCTGGCCCTACTTCGTCTTCTTTTCATGGCCTCTCCTCCTGTCGCCGGTCGCCAACCTGGTTCTTCCGAAGTCGCTTCTGCCCAAGTTTATCGACTTTGGCTTCCCGAAGAAGCAAAAGGGCCTTCCTAAGCTGTTGACGGCTCTTGTTGTTATTCCCATTATGCTGGCTGTGGTCCACTTCAACACCATCGTCCATCCCTTTACCCTGGCCGACAACCGTCACTATGTCTTTTACGTATTCCGCATCCTTCTGCGTATTCACCCGGCTATCAAGTATGCTGCTGTCGCAGTGTACTTCCTCTGCGCGTGGATGGTCATTTCTGCCTTTGGATTCTCAACGACTACCACGCCTCCCCAGTTGATGCGTGTCCCGCAGACAGCAGCCCCTCAGCCTGAGCCAGTGCCACAGAAAGAGCCCAGCCAGAAGAAGGCCGAGCGTCGAAAGGCAGCTAAGAAGCCCGCACAGCCGCCCAAGCCGGAGCCGATCTCTTTTGAGGCGTACGCCAGGATTCAGGAGCACATTGCGCACCGGCAGAAGCAGCACCAGGGCGCGCCGCAGGTGAGCTTTGTGCTTGTCTGGTTGGCGGCCACGGCACTGTCGCTCATCACGGCGCCGCTTGTCGAGCCGCGATACTTCATCATTCCGTGGGTGATGTGGCGGCTGCATCTGCCCCCGCAGCCGACGCCCCTCGTGCACCGTCAGAGGGCGCGCGATGCGACTGAAGAGCTCAACGCGAAGGTTGCCACGAACATGGCGCTGTTCCTGGAGACGTATTGGTTCTTGGTGATCAATGCGGTGACGGGATACATCTTCCTGTACTGTGGGTTTGAATGGCCCCAGGAACCAGGGAAGGTCCAGCGCTTCATGTGGTAGACTTGTAAGACTGTATAGTGTATAATAGTGTAGTAATAGTTAAATATAGATCTGAATATTTTCGTGGTTGTGAAGCAAACCTTCTACCTATGATGTTGGCAATATCCAGATGTAACCGGTATGCTATCCGCCATCACCGCATCTCCCTCACCACCTTCTCACCTCACCTCAACCGCAACATGGAAGAACCAGACCGGCCTGCCAAACGGGCCAAGTTATCCTCCAACATAGATAATGCAGACAATGACTCCAATCAAGCGAGCAACAGCAGCAGCATTGAGAGTAACAACCACCCCCTAGCATCCCTGCACCGCTCCATAACACCTCCATTGCTCTCCCGCTCCAAGGGACCAAAAATACCGCCACAACCACAACACAATGCCACCCATCCAGCATCACCCAGCACGCAGAAAACCAAAAAGAACAACGATAGAGAAATAAACAAGGAGAGTATAATACCCTCTCCCATTCAACTAACCCACATCCGGGACCTCCCCGCCTCCTCAGGTCACAACACCGACACTGTCCGACTGCGCGACATTCTCGGCGATCCATTGATCCGCGAATGCTGGCAGTTCAATTACCTCTTTGACGTGGACTTTTTGATGAGCCAGTTTGATGAGGATGTGAGACGGCTGGTCAAGGTGAAAGTTGTGCATGGCTCGTGGAAGAGAGATGCGCCGAACCGGCAGAGGATTGATGTATATCCCCTATCTTCATTCTTTTCTTCCCATATTGACTCGTATTGGGATATGTAATATGTGATAATAATGCTAATGACATGAATAGGAAGCATGTACACGTCACCCCAACGTCGAGGCAATAGTGGCCTACATGCCAGAAGCGTTCGGGACCCATCATTCCAAGATGATGATTTTGTTGAGACATGATGATTTGACTCAGTGTGTATCCATAATACCACTAATGTATCTAGCAAAGCTAATGCAATGAACACAGAGTGGTCATCCACACGGCAAACATGATAGCAGGCGACTGGGCAAATATGTGCCAGGCCGTCTGGCGATCTCCTCTTCTTCCACTCTGTTCCGATGGAAGTGGGAGTGAAAATATAGCCACCCCCGGGGCACGCTTCAAGCGCGACCTCCTCTCATATCTACGAGAGTACGGGCAGAGGAAAACCGGTCCGCTTGTTGCGCAGCTTGAGAAACACGACTTCAGTGCTGTCCGCGCAGCATTGATCGCTAGTGTCCCCTCGAAGCAGAAGATCCGGGAGTCGACTGATTCGAACCGGAAGACGCTGTGGGGGTGGTTAGCTCTAAGGGATGTCCTGCGGTCGGTGCCTGTTTCTCCTTCAGAGGATAGACCGCATATTGTAACTCAGGTAGGCTGGCTGTTCTTATTAGCCACTGGGACTGCCTGTGGAATATTCACTAACGAAGTATAGATATCCTCCGTCGCCTCTCTCGGCCAAACTGACAAATGGCTCAAGGACGTCTTCTTCGCGTCCCTTTCCCCGTCATCAAACAACCACAAACCAAGATTCTCGATCATTTTCCCCACCCCTGATGAAATCCGCCGCTCCCTGAACGGCTACGGCTCCGGCGGCTCCATCCACATGAAGCTACAGAGCGCCGCGCAACAGAAACAGCTGCAGTACATGAGGCCGTATCTGTGTCACTGGGCTGGAGATGTTGCTGAGGACGAGGTGAAAATGAAACGAGAAGCAGGTCGTCGCCGTGCGGCACCGCACATCAAGACATATATGCGGTACTCGTCATCGGAGATGGACCGGATTGATTGGGCGATGGTGACATCGGCGAATTTGTCGACGCAGGCGTGGGGAGCAGCGGTGAATGCTAACGGGGAGGTGAGGATATGTAGTTGGGAGATAGGGGTTGTGGTTTGGCCGGAGTTGATTGCCGGTGCTGGTGCTGAGGGGAGGAGTGTGATGATGCCTTGCTTTCGGAGGGATATGCCTGATGCAGATGCGGTTGCGGCTGCAGATGCAAATGCAAATGCAGATGAAAAGGAAATTCCTACTACGACTACGGTTGGCTTTCGAATGCCCTACGACCTGCCGTTGACGAGGTACAGCGAGACGGATATACCCTGGTGTGCGACGGCTAGTCATAGCGAGCCGGACTGGCTGGGGCAGACGTGGGAGGGATAGCCTATATTCTGATCTCTTACCACCCATACACATATCAATATCAAAAGAATCAATAATGACTATGCAAGCAGCTCAATAGCTAAGTAGTTAGTTGAGTAGTAAGTAGCTCATAACTCATCTCGTCCTGCTAATAGACAATGAATCCACCACATGATATCTCCTCATTTATGACCTTGTAGGTTTATAATCTACTCCCTCGTTCCAATCTTTCCAATCAGAGTGTCAACCTGCTTGATGTACTCGGCCTGGGCCCTGCCCTCGCTGATGTGCTGGATTTCCTTCCATGCGTTGTACTTGTACTTGGCCTATATCATCAAAGCAAACATGTTAGCCCTCCACTCTCGTTGCAGATCGTTGCATCTGGAGAAAAGGACATATAAACATCTAAGATGGATAAAAGGAAACATACCTCCATAGCAAACATGCCAGGCTGAGCAGGAGTCTCGTTCCTCGAGCGCTTGAAATACTTGTAGAGCTACACACAGACACACATATTAGCATATACCTTCAGCGTAAATCGTCACATTCTCCCCCTCCAAAAGGAACGGAGCAACCGAGGGAGAAAAGAGGGGCCGATCATACGTTCAACTTGTCATCCACACCAGGCTCCTTGTTCAGCATCTTCACAAGTTCAACAGCGAACTCAAATGCAGACTTCAGGGCAGCAGCCTGCTCGCCCTCGACGGTGGCGGTCTCCTCGCCAGCAAGGACGGCCTCGATGGCGGCGGAGAAGGCGGAGATGTCGACCTTGGCAGCGGCGGCCTGGACCTCGGGGGTGAACTTCTCCTTGTTGATGGAGGCGGAGAGGGCGGTGGTGAAGTTGGGGACGGACATTTTGGCTGTTGGGTTTCTTTGATGGGTGGTTTAGAAGGTGGGAGTTGCGGTTGTAGGTGGGATGAGGAGGAAGAGGGGAAGAATAAGTAGTGAGTTGGGAAAGACAAGGTGAAGGTGGGGGGGATTTGTTGATTTGGTGGGGGAGTTTGCACGGTTGGTTATTGGTTGGGTTTATGGATACTTCTCAGGTGACTGCTAACTTATACATACTACTGAGTACTAATTGACTATTTGCTGATCACTGCAATAGTATGGGATTTTGTCTAGTTGGATATTGTCTGATTTGTTGATTTTGTTCTGGTGGTTACTGAAATGGAGGGTTGTTGGCTCAACCGTTGAGTGGGTTTCTGGATACTATGTTATGGACTGCCACTTTGGTGCAAAACAGCTGCATAGCTTAGTCTGAATGTCTTTCTGGTTGTCATCAGACCTTGTGCTAATTTATAGCAGAGTCTGCAGTTCTCTACAATATATGTCTCTTCTTTCTTGCGCTCGTCTTCATGCTTAAAAAATGCTTCTCTATGTACCCCAGCAGGATTACCACGAGCGATGGATCATCTACGCCAACTGCTCTGCGGGCTAGGTAAGAGATCCTTTATTGAATGTTCGGAATTGTCCTCATTGTTGAATAGTTGACCCTGGAAAGTCCCGGACAAAGCTCCTTTATCATGACCAAAGCCCTTAATAAATACATCGACGGGCTCGCTTTGTCTGGATGCAACGTCACCCTGAACGTTCGCGAGCAACTTTATGGATGCGTCATTGAACCAACGAACCCGGAAACACGCTCAAAATAGTCGAGAAGTATCAAGTATCTCTTGAAGTCTGAGAAGAGTGTATCGCAGAGTTTACTGTGGAATCAAGGAACCAAATGACTCGCACTTACGAGGTACGCTGTCCACCATCCATATCATTTACTGCCTCTGACAACCGCAGCAGGATGCCATCAGACTCCTGGAAACGCGTAGGCGTCGTGGCCGACCAAGGATGAGTCCTTCTATACAAACAGAGGTACTCCCAGCAAACTTCACCAGCACTGTGCGAGGTATCCCGAGTCTGCATGGAATGAGCGAGTGGCTACAGAGCCTCGGACACTCGGTAGGCCCTTTACTTGCTACAAAGAAAACTGCGTCTACTTACTAGATACAGGAAACCGATGTATCCCGTCTAAATATAGTCCACGTCACAGGAACAAAAGGCAAAGGCAGCACATGCGAATTTACCCGTTCTATCCTACATGCACATGGCCTGAGGACCGGCTTTCCCAGTAAAATCGGACTCTACACATCGCCTCATATACAATGCATCCGAGAAAGAATCCAAATCAACAACAAACCCGTCCCCAAGAACCTCTTCACAAAATATTTCTTCGAAGTATGGGATACGCTCATGGATCCCAAAGTCCAAAACACAGATCCAAAACAGCAGCCACCTCGCTACCTGCAATTCCTCGCCCTGCTCGCTTTCCATACCTTCATCCGAGAAAACGTTGACGCCGCAATATTCGAAGTCCATCATGGTGGTGAGTTCGACGCTACGAACGTGATCCAGAACCCCGTCGTCACCAGCATCACTTCCTTAGGGCTGGACCACGTTACACAGCTCGGCCCTACGGTCGAATCCATTGCCTGGCATAAATCAGGGATCTTCAAACCCAGTGCACCTGCATTATCTGTTCCGCAGGAAGATAGGCCCGCAGAGGTCCTGCACGCTCGTGCTGCGGAGAAGAATACATCATTGACCATCGTCCCGCTGAATCCCAACCTCCCCACTAACAGTAGGGTGCTGAGTATTCCGGTCCAGCGACTAAACTGCTCCCTAGCCCTCGAGCTAGCCAAGACATTCCTGGAAGCCAAGGCACCTGGCCATGTACTCGAGTCAGAGGACATATCCACCGCAGTGAGAGATATCTTTCTGCCCGGAAGATTCGAGATTATCGAGGACCCGGACGGACAATCGCAGTGGTTCGTGGACGGCGCACATAACACGCTTAGTCTTAAGAAAGCCGCAGAGTGGTATTCAGATCTTATCAAGAGTTCCGGGTTGCAAAAGTGAGTATGGTATGGCCCCCTACCTATAATGTACTCAATCAACTAACCTTAGTAAATCACAGGTACCGAATCCTAATATTCAGCCACTTCTCTAAAGACCGAGACGGCCTAGCCCTTCTCGAATGCTTAGCAGAGTCTCTCGCTGAGCGAGATGCACTGCCGGACCATGTGATTTTCACTACTTACATTGAACGAGAAGATGAACTTACAAAGATGGATAAAGGTCAGGAACACTATTCCTGCATGAACCTCCAGTACCCTGACTCGTACTAACTAATAACTCTGAGATAATTAAATAGATATACTCCCCACCTCCCTTCTAGATCTTAGCGTGTTACCTTTATTCGCCGAGAAATGGAAAGAGCTTTACCCCCAAAGCATGAGTTCAATCTCGACGAAAGAGACCATCGAAGAAGCGATCGAGACAGCAAGAAGCATAAATGCGCAGCAGGATAATGTATCTCAGGTCTTGATAACGGGGTGCTTTTACTTGGTTGGCGGGGCGCTAAATATATTGCGTTCGTGAGGTGTTTACTTCTTAGTGTCAATGTTAAAGTAATTGAAGATGTGGATTGATAACATGAAGGATTTAATTGTTTTGATTATTACTAGGAAAGTAATACATGGAATACCAGTTAAATAATTGGGTCCACGGAAATGCGGAATAAGGACAAGTAAGACATACCGTCTGTCCGACATTAACATGGTATGTTGGGTTTGGAATAGACAAAGACTGACGGTCAATATGGATATAACAAAAATCTACATAGCAAGGCTACTAGCATACCTAGGCACTTTAATAATATATTTTCTCTCATATGAAATGTAAAGTGTAACTAGTATACATTGTATTACTCTGAATGTAGTATACAAGCATATGTCCTGTTAATGGTATCAAGTAGTCTACTACCAACGCCATGCTAATCATACTAATTGTGCAATTAATCACCAATCCACTGCCCAGCCATTCTTGTCCAGGAACTCCTCGCACGCCGCCTTCAACGCATAATTCGGCCGAAGATCGTTCACCGTCATCGGCACTCGTGTGATGGGGTCAACCTTGGCCTGCTCCACGTACTTGGTGATGCCAACCCGGTCAAAGCTGGTCCCGGATGGAGTGATAACAGGGTCATGCATAATCTCAAACGTAATTCCATCCACCAGATAATCAGGCACAACCTATACCATATTATCAGCACAACTCACTAGTAACTCACCGAAAAGGAAGAACTTACTCTCTCAACCACCTTCCCCTCCGACGCAATCGCAAACGCCTCCCTCACCCTCTGCACCTTCCGCTCAGCATCCTCTCTAATCTCCCTCTCATCCTCCCTAAACCCAATCTCCCCAATCTCGCCCTTCTCCAGCCGCCCCTTCAACTCCGTCAACCCCCTCTCCATCTCCGCCTCAATCAGCCCCTCCACACTCGCTAACGTCTCATCCAACTCCCTTATCCGCGCCGTCTCCTTGGCCGCCCAAATTGCCTGCTTAGCGCGCAGCACCGTCCGCGACAAATTCTCCGTCTGGATGTTCTTCGCCGCCAGACTCGCCTTATACCCTTCAATGGCTACATCGTACGCTTCCTGAGGTCGTTGCAAGCCCAACAGCGCTTGTGCCAGATACCAGGAGGATTTCAAACTAGTAGGAGATTTGGCGCCGTACAGATCGATGGCGGCGCGGGCGTCGTGCTCAACTCCGGCCCAGTTTTCGAGACGGATGCGGGTGAGGGCACGGTTGGAGAAGAAGGTGGGTTCTTTAGGGTTCTTGAGGATTCTGTTTGTTGTAGATATTCAGTGGTTAGTATACGCTTGGTATTTAGTGGAGGTTTGGGTGTTAGCGGGGTAGTGGGATATATGCTCACGCTTGTGAATACATCTCCTCGGCGCCATTGTAATCGCCTTCTTTGAAGAGCTGGTTGCCCTTTTCTTTTAGTTCGAGAGCCATGTTTGCTGTGTTGTGCAGTGGTGTTAGGTGCTATGTGGTGCGCGCCGGTGTGTTGTGCGCACACTGGTTTGTGCTGTAAACGACGACGGGAATATCCCCTTTTTGTTTCCGTGACGATGTTTTGTCAGCTGGAAAGAACAAACGAAGGAACAAACGAAGAAACAACGCCTCGGATGTCGGATGTGTGGGGCTGCGCGGTGATCTCCACTGTTGTGAGTGAAGTAGATGGTGACTGGATGTGCTAGAGATTCTATCCGTTCTGTTTAGCGGATAGTGGATGTGGAGTGAGTTTCAACTCGATGGGATGATTGATGATAGAAGCAATGGAGGAATGATGCTGCACGGTCATGGGAGTTCTGGCCGATTCATGAGTATAAGTATCCAGATAAGTACTATTCAGCTACCCCTCTTGGGACCTGAGACCCTTGGAGGTCAGCTCAGGAATGGAATTGATGAGCTCGGGTGAGCTTTCAGTCGTGATCCACACAGCCCTGGTGTCGGGACGGCACGTTGGATTGTCCATCTTCATCAATTGATGTTCGATTTTATGCCTGTTCCTGTGCAGTGGAAAAGATGTGGTTTGATCAATCGAAGGTGATCGATCCCCGCAGAATCCAGATGAGTCAGCAGTTATGAGTGGACGGGAAATGTTGAGGTGAGAGTTACTTAGCGATTGCCATACTGTATTTGTGGTAGAGAGTTAGGTGGTTGATTACAATGGATCTTGATGGTATAAACGATCGTCTACGAAATAGAAGGCATATGGAGCAATATAGTACATTTTCTACCTACTGCTCTAATGAAAGAATGGCCGGCCATATCATTCCGTACAACTCGTGGTATCATTGACTCGTCGGATATTAGAAGGGAAAGGCCCGGATCCAGCCGTACCAGATCGCTTCGCTCGAAAGTAAGAGGTGAAAGGGAAGCTATAGTTATAGTAACACGCCGGAGATTATGGCGCTGCCGCTGCCACTTCGGTTGTGGCTGGTGTTCATGTCATGCCGCACAGACAAGGAACATCGTAGTACTGGATTGACTGGGGTTGACTGACTGACTGACTGACAGTCCCACTTAAGCCGTACCAGCGAGTTCCTTCTCGTAGTCGGAGATGGCTTGCACCTTGGCGGCGGAGGCACTCTTGGGGTCGAAGCGGTAGGTCACCCACTCGTTGGCGAGCTTCTTCGCAAGCTCAATGCCGATGACGCGCTGGCCAAAGCAAAGCACCTGGGCGTCGTTGCTGAGGATGGAGCGCTCGACGGAGAAGGAGTCGTGTGCCGTCACAGCGCGGATGCCGGGCACCTTGTTGGCGGAGATGGCGACACCAAGACCAGTACCGCAGATGAAGAGACCACGGTCTGCCTTGCCCTCCTTGATGAGTTTGGCACCAGCGACAGCGGGGTGAGGGTACGCGGTCTTGTCGGAGGTAGAGTTGACGCCCACGTCTTGGATGGACTCAACCAGAGGGTTCTTCTCGAGAGCAGCCTTCAGGGTCTCCTTGTAGGGCTGGCCGGCCTCATCGCAGGCCACGACGATGCGGAGGGGCTTCGGATCGGCAGACATGGTGGAAAGTGTGGAGGGAAGTAAAGGAATTCAAGAAAGTCTTGGAAGTTAAGTGGAGAGTGAATGTGACTTGAAGTAGATAAGAATAATAATGATGATGGAATAGTGATGAAAGAGAGGGTTGAAGATGGAAGACATGGACCTTTTTATACCTATTTCTTCAGCTCTCCAGCTCTCTGTCTTCCCCTCCTATTGTCCCCCTCCCTTCAAAGTACTTTTCCGATCGAAAGGTCCGATGCAGTGGGGGAGAAAAGGCCGTGCCGTGCCTCCTGGACCCAAAGTTCGGTGGTTGACGCCAATTCGGTTTGGCGACACGCATGTCCCAATGGCCGTTACGAACCAATGCTGATTATCCCTCATGCTTTTTTTTCGTGCTTCATGCGCGACAGCAGCGATAGACACTAGTTTCGCACTCCCCACAGCTAGAGGCGATCCAGAGAAGCCGGTTTTGGGCCGGGCCATGTTTGGTTCTGCCAGCTCCACTCATGGCGTCATGCATTCTTGCACTTCTCAAAGGTTGTTTTGCTGCGACTGCCTGCAAGCGGAACCAATGGCGTTGAGACCGGATTGGCGAACCCTTTCGGACAGATTAGGAGTGTTTTGAGCCAGTGACAGCATAGTACAAAGTAGTATGACTGTCTACGCTACGGACTATCATATACCATTTGCTTGTTACTGTGATATTTTCTCTCTTCCGACTTTATCTCTACGGTGAAATTCACCGGGAATAGTTCCATCCCGCAACAGCCGATGATGTCAGCCCGCCATCTGGTCTCCTCCTAATTCTTCCCATTCGGTTCTGTTGCATTGCCATTCGGGACCGACCTCAGATTGCCCCGGGATTCTCCTCCATCCTTCCCCCTTGTTGGATGTCTTGGATGTTTGGTAACGGGTCAGGTCCGCGGCCAAGCTAACCGGGTTGGGGGAGAGGGGGACTGCATGCCCGCGCACTATTATCGGCTTACTTGGCCTATTCAGGAAGCGTATACAGGCATTCTTTGGCGCAGATTCAGCTTTCCCTGGGCAATTGCCCAATACATAGAAGTATACCGAAATGAGGAAGAGGGGGCGCGGGAATGGTGTGTGGGCTCATCCGGGATAGCATCGGTGTCGTATTAGTTCCGAGGGACGTTAGCTCGCAGTGAGTTGCAATTAATCCCATGATAGACATGGGATTGGCAGTAGACTATCATTGACGATTGAAGATTGGATACCGAACTCTCAGCAACAGCAACAGCGTGTATAGTCCCCTTGTTGCTGGCATAACAAGCCATGGGAAGCTCAGCTGGTCTGAGAATTGCTCATGTGGCATACATGTAGGAGGCTCAACCTCAGCCTTTCTACCATCCAGTATAGTATACTATGCTGTTATTATTATCGTAGGATTATTCTGGGGTCGACGGCCCACGGCAGGCAGCGAGCAGAAAGTGGAGGATCCCGTCCGTATCAAAGCGCATGGTTGTTAGCCTGTTACAGATAGTCGGAACCAGTCAGTTCACGGAAAGGATTTAGGACTAACTCCTACAAAGGAAGTACTTTGTAAGTGCAACTAGGCTGGGTGAATCTCAAATGGTGGCAGTTCAGTCTACGCCATTTGACGCGTTCAATGTCCAAACTTGAGATACACCAATTTTTGGTTGTTGCTGTGCCTTGTGCTCTCACCATCCACACACCACAACAAGTTCCTAATTATGCTTTGTCTCAATGATTGATACAGAACATACATAGCTCGAGTAATGTTGTTTTTTGCAAGATACCCCAAACAGTCCAGGCTGGGCTCTCGGAAGTCCAAACGAGGTTACAACTGCACGCCCCACCTCTTCCCTCCATCCCCACCAAACTAGTATTTTACTGGCCTCTGATAGGACTCTTGCTATTATTGGTGGCCCGCTGACGTCCGATCGATGGAAAGTGACAAGTCATACCGTTTCCAGGGGATCCAGAACTCCCCGGGTAACTTACTGTATCACGGAAACCGACGAGGTCCAAGCGGACCAGTCGGAACCTGTCTTTGGCGACAACTTCATTTCCGGTCAATTCTGTATCTTTCCACTCTATGCCTCAATCAGGCAGGCTCTGCGTCTCCTTTCTCTGCAAGCCGAGAGTCTGATTCTTGCGTGTGTTTTGGTTCCTCTCCCGACTCGCATTCCCACACCTCCTCATTCAAGCCTCTCTCCTATGTGTAGAGTGGCTTGCACCTCTCGTACTTCTTCGCTCCCCTAGTTATCCAAATCCATTCCCGACTCCATCTGATAGAGTATCGAGGCAGTAAAACTGCGACCCTCTTAAATTACCACACTAAACCACCCGCCATTCCCCAGGTTTTTCATCGCTGCTCTGACATCAGCGGATGGAGATGCACCTCGCGTGGGCCGATCCATCGTGTCTCCTCTTTCCCTCCCAACACTAAACTGTGAAGGGAGAACCGGTTGCATGCTAAATTAGGCCCCAATGAAATGGTCCGCGGCACAGCATGGCTACTACTTCCGTGCTCGACTGATTGGCACTGCCCCTCTTTACCCTGTGTTGTCTCCTAGTACTGCGCTATTTCCGTTACGCTAATCCAGCCTCCCTCGATTCTAACACTTTCGATCGAATCCCCGACCCAGCAACCATCACACAATATCCTTCCCTATCAACACACTACTCTTACGCTCGAGTGGGTGCTCTCACCAGCATAGTGGAGTTTAGCAGTCTCAGATTTCAGACAACTAATCTCGTTGGCCAGTCTATACCAGTGGAGACCAGTTGATCGTTCTCTGATTGCTACGGAAATCACTCTCGAAGACCATCATTCACCGGTCCCATCGCATCATTACACCGGTGTCTCAAGTCACCCATCATGGCGTCCCAGCAAGCCTACCCGGTTCTCCCAAAGAACCTGCTCATCATCTCGCTGAAGATGTACTTTACACCTACCCGTACGCTCGACTACTGCCGTGCTTTGCTCGACCCCAAGAATGATATTGTCCGCCCGGAGAACCGTTCCAAGCTGTTGCTGGCCCTTATCCCCGACTTCCTGACCGTCTACCCCTGTGCGGAGATTATTAAGGCGTGGGAATCCACTTTACCAAAGGATGATGCTCCTTCACTGCCAGCTCCATTCCTGCTTGGGGCTCAGGATTGCTTCTGGGAGCCACTGGGCGCCTATACCGGAGAAGTCTCGCCGCTGGCGCTCCGCTCGATGGGGGTGTCCATTGTCGAACTTGGTCACGCAGAACGCCGCGCCATCTTTGGCGAGACAGATGATCAGACTGGCCGCAAAGCTGCCGCTGCATGCGCACAAGGTATGGTTCCGCTGGTCTGCATCGGAGAGGTCACCGCGCCTGGCCCCGTAGCCTCGCAGGCCATCGGGCAGGCCGTCAGCGAATGTGAGGTCCAGATCCGGGCCGTCCTCCAGGCCATCCCGGCGGACGCGCCAGTCATCTTTGCCTACGAACCGGTGTGGGCAATTGGGAAGCCCGCCCCGGCGGGTGTAGACCACATATCGGCGGTGGTCGATGGCATCAAGGCGATGATTGGCACCCGCGCGGGGGACGTCCGGATCTTGTACGGGGGAAGTGCCGGACCGGGGCTGTGGGGCCCGGGCGGTCTGGGGAAGGCCGTCGACGGCATGTTCCTGGGCCGATTCGCCCACGAAGTCGAGGGGGTCCGCAAGGTGGTCAGGGAGGTTGAGGAGACGTTGGCTTGATCATCGGGTCTGCTGCTCCGGCAGATGCAAGTCTCGGGTTTACGCTCTCGGACGATACCAAAACACAAAAACAAACATAGTACATCATGAACCACACACTACTAGTGTCTACTACTGCTAGATGTGGGGGATATTGGGCATCACGCGGGAGAACAGAAAATTTTAGACTGCTAGCAGCCCCTTTTCAAGACCTTTGTGTGATGATATCCACCACCATCGGGTATCCTGTTCAGGCAACCCCGAGCAGTATCCATCGATTAAGCCTCCGTTCCCTTCCAGGGAGGAATGAAACAGGCAATGCCGACTTGACCCATAACCCTCCCGAGTGGGATGGATTCATGGATGAATGTGGATCACAACCGAGTCGGTGAAGACCTTCTCGAAGCTTGCAGGATCCCCGCTCCCAGCGATCTGGGCCCTGATGGAATCCTGCCCGCTCGAGTCCGCGTGAGGTTGAAGAAAATTTCGGCGGGCTGCATGACCAGCTTGTCGTCCCCTCCACTCCGCTGCACGTGTGACATTGCCGGCCACCTGACCCGATGGGGGCCCACTTTATCTGATCGCTTAATGCCAACCCGGGCAGTAGTTCAAATCTAATTTTATTCCTGAAGCTTGGATTTGCAAGCAACGCCCGGGATTTGGTTCTAGATCCTTGAATGGGGCTGAAGGTGGGTTATTTTCGGTGAGGGTTTAGGGGTCAGGGGTTTGGTGTGCTGTTGATAGCTACTGCATGAGCATGAAGAGGTTGCTGATGTGGCATTGATGTGCCATAGGCTAGAGGCAATTAACGGCTGCCAGCTTATCAAGGCATACGCTCGTTCACGTCATACGCTGCAGAGCTACCTAGCTTGGTTGCTGGCAGCAGCAACTAGATATCTGCTCATGGAACAATAACTAACTATAGTGACTAATCCTTATTGACAGCTGAAGCTTTCGTTCGTCTCGAGGACATTCCCTACTTCTACTGACTTGCAGCGTTGACGGACTAATAGGAGCAGCTACAGCAAACCATTCTACTTGCCTTCAGCTAGCATCTATCAACTATGCCAAGTTACAGTATATTTCGATACCCTGCTGTGATCATTCGAAATTAAACATACTCCCAGAAAGCTACTGTAACCAGCGTTAAAAGCAAATGAACGGTTGAGAATAATCTTATTTAGTTCTTCTATATACAATATCACATCCCCTAATCTACGCCTACCTACTAAACTACCATCCACCCACCCCAATAAACCCGGTCGCTCCTTTTAAAATCACATATCTAGCCACTGGCAGTAAACTTACCTCAGTTCACAATACCGTCTTCTCTACTGCTTCTCCTTCATCTCCTCCTTCACCCTCGTCACCGTCCCCAGCCCCCCATACGTAATAGCTGTATACATCATCGCAACCGAAGCTCCCGCATCAAGGACCTTCTTCGCCTGCGCACCATTCGTCACACCCCCAGAAGCGAAGATAACCTTCCTGGCAGGCAATCCCTCCACAGCCTCACTCACAGTGGGAGGAACATTCTCGACATCCGGCTCCGCCGCCTCGAGAGCCTTAGGCACAGCAGCAGCAGGAGCACTAGCATCCAACAAACTCCTATACCTCGCAACCAGCGCCACCGTACGATCAAACAACTGCGGACCAGAGTATCCACCCGTCTCCTTCAGAACATCCTGCTCCTTACTGGGCAGAGTGAATCCCTTAGGAAGCGGCTCCGGACGACGATTCGTCGTGTTACCCACGATCACACCATCAACGCCAGACCCCCACACGGCGTCGCAGATACCGGAGACTTGTTCGTCTGCGTCCTCGTCGGGACTGACCTTAACCATAACGAAGGGCTTGGTTTTCCGGTCGATGCTCTTAGCTGCGCCGACAACGGCCTTCAGAATGGCCGTGAGAGGCGCGGTAGCTTGCAGGTCGCGGAGACCAGGGGTGTTAGGGCTGGAGACGTTGACGACCAGGATGTCGGCGTATTTGGCCAGGCGGTCGACGCAGTAGACGTAGTCACGCTTGATGGCTTCGATGTCGTTGTCGGGCGTGAGCTTGTTCTTGGCCACTTGCACGGCCAAGAGCTTGCCTTCGCGGAGACTACCCGGGGGCACGCCGGCTTCACCGTTCAGCACGCGCTGCTCGGCCAGCTCGTGCTCGCCGAAGGCGTGGGCGTAGGCGTAGTCGCGCACGCGCTGTTCCAGGACCGCGGCCATGTGGTCGGCGCCCTTGGAGTTAAGGCCGTAGCGGTTGATCATGGCTTTTTGGGACGGGAGGCGGAAGACGCGCGGGCGGGGGTTGCCTTCTTGGGGGAGGGGGGTTGTACCGCCGACTTCGACGATGGCAGGGCCTAATTCGAACAACGGGTCTGGGATGTCGGCGTGCTTGTCCAGGCCGCCGGAGATGCCGATCGGGTTGGAGAGGGTGTAGCCGAAGACCTGGATGAGTGTGAGTATGGGGGTAAGGTGGGAGGGGGGGATTAGGGAGGGGAAGTACCTCAGTGAGGAGAGCGCCATCGCTATCGGGATCACCACGCTCGCGCGGGTTCAGACCGTACTTGTAGAGTGTCTTCAGGATGTCCACGCCGAAGTGGTGCGCATCTTCGGCGTCGGGGAAGAGCAGTCTGACGAGAGGGACGACGCCGTACCGGTGCACGCTGGCGCGGGTGTCCGTTCCGTAGATGTAGCCGGCGAGGAGAGTCAGGGCAAGAGAGGTGCCCCAGACGGTGCGCTTGAGCTTGCGGCCGGTCTTCTTGGGGGCTTCTTTCACGGTTTCCGTGAACTGTGCGGTGGTCTCCTTGGCCGCTTCTTTGGTCTGGGATGCTGCGTCCGAGGAATAGCGGACTTGACGGAGGAGAGACTCCCGGTGGAGGATTGAGGGCCGCTGAGTAGCGCGGAGAGAGGGAAGGGCAGGTGCTCTGCGGCCTGCGGATCTCCAGGCGAGAGCCACTGCGTTGGTAGCCATTGTGGAGGAGTGGAGTCTAGTGATGTCGATTGTGAAGGGTAGGGCAATTGGCCTACATAATTGTTAGTTCTGCATGCTCAAATGAATGTATAGTGAATGGGTAGGTAATCGCAATTGGGCCTTGGAGAAGCACTAGCATGTGCTTCTCAAGACTATGTCTTGCTATAATTGCTATGCCGAAGAACAGCCGATTCAACCGATCATGCCAGCGACTCACCATTCAATGTCAATCAATTGCAAGTCAGATCCACCGAACTAGCGAACTAGCAGCCAAAGATGCTGCAATTACGCCGCCAAGTCGAGCAAAGACAAAGCTGCCGGAGGGGATGGACGTTGCTGCGAGCGTCTTGGATATCCGGTTCTTTTGCGTCAACGTCCCGAGGCGGTCAAGTGTTTAGCCGGCAGAACCAGCTGACCGAGCGGTGTAGCATAGAACCTAAGGCAGACAGACAAACAGAGCATGTTCTCGTGCAGGATCATAAATTGTTGACTAGTATTTACGGGATGTACATCAATCGCCGGAGCAGCCTGTTTCTGTGCATTTGCACGGCCGCAACAATGAAAAAGAACCAAACTTCGCTACGTAACTCCAGATGATCATGCCACACAACGCCTTTTGCTGCCTCGACTCCAATACCTGCCAACCAGCCCATCAATGCGACTGGCAGCGCAGACCCCATTCGGAGACGGCCATGCAATGTGAACAAGTCCAAGGAACATTAGCATAATGACAAATGAAAGGGTATGTAAGCTGTAATGCATAGGCAAAAGTTACACTCAGGAAGGCATGCCTGCCACCGTCATAGCGCCTAGAGGATGCAATATGATAGAAGACTGAGCCAATTACTCGTCACTCTCATTGCCGGCATCGTCGTGCGCATATTCAGGCGAGGCCTGACGGTCGACGTCGTGCTCGCCTTCGTCTTCCTCTTGCTTGGCTGGTTCAACATCGTTCTCCTGATTCTCTGGGGGTGGAGGCATCGACTCGGCAAACTTCGGGTCAATGGCGGCCCTATGCAGGGACCGCTTGTAGACTTCCGCTTCGTCAGGATCGCGCACCGCCACTTGGATCTGATCGACCTGGTCCTCCTTGGTCTTGGGACGGGTAGGCGCCAGACCAGCCTGGGCGATGGTACGGGCTCTCTCAGGCTTAAGACGGGTCTTTCCGAGAATGGGATAGTAGTAAGCGGCCTTTTGCCTTGAGTCGAGACCGTCACGGTTTCCACCCTTCACTTCCTCTGGGTCAAAGAGCGTCAACGCGATGTCCTTTTGCTTCTGATCGTTGCCCAAAGTTTGAGCGCTCGTAGCGTAGGTGCGGACGCGGTCGAAGCGGTGGAACTTGGTATTGTCGGCTCCTTCGTGAGTGTATAGCGCTTCATTATCGCGGTCCGGATTGGTCATGCGCAGACTCGCCGAAACGTTCTTGGCCGCATCCTTCTTCTCAGGTAGATAGAGATCGTAATCCCATGGGATTGGACCTGGGTCAGGGTACAGATTGGGATTCGTCTTATACAAGGCCGCCTTCGTGTTGTGCTCTTGGCAAACGCGCTCCTCCGGTGCCGATGGAAGCAGAATGGCCACATCCATGCGCTTGTCTCTCTTCCCTGAAACGTCCTGCACAGGCGCCTTGTCGAACTTGAACTGGACAAAACCACCCGGGTCCGGGAAACCTTCCAGATCGGGGAGCAGCGGATAGAATCCGACGGGCTTCAACTTGGGGTTATCAGGGTGCACTGGGTGGGCCCATGCATCGTGTTCAAGCTTCGTAGGAGTGTGGCCTTTGATCTTGCTAGCCGTATCTTCACCGACGTGTTTGCTGTGAGGATACGCAATATCGAAACCTTTCTGGAGGTATTTCTTGATGTAGGTAGGGTCATCCTGCGACTTAGTTTTGTCCGTCCCACGCTTCGTCCGGATAGGAGCGACTTTGGGGCCATCAGGCGCCCGAAGACCCGCGGAAATGTACTGCGTACGGCGAAGGAAACTGACGTTGGTATTCTTCGGTGCCGGGTTCTTCAGCTGCTCCGGCGTCATCAGAAGTGCCAAATCAGCTTGGTCAATGGGTTCCGGGTTCTCAGGAGCCATAATCGCTGTGTTTCGAACAACTGTCAGCCACCAATGCAAGAAAGACCAGATCATGCAAGCCGAAATACATACCGCTCTCATCACCCAGGTGAAGCCCGGGAATACCGACCAAGTCGATTGGCATACCACCTTCAGCATCAACATCAATGTTAGGTTCTTCACGGCGAGCCAAATTGGAGGCAAATCCCGGAGTCAAAAAACGGTCCAAGCCCTCATGTGGAATATCGAGGAACTTCGGGGGCATATCCGGAGGCGGCAGGTCATTTCGGTAGCGCAGAGAAGCAATGTACTCCTGGTGAAAGCCCCCGGAGGAGCTGCTGTCCTTGGATTTCGACATGCTCGCTCGGAACTCAGACAGCAGCAAAACCTTTGGTTCAGCGCCGTCAGAGGAAGGTGAACTGTACACTGTAACACACTTTAGTAGAGCTCCCAACTTGCGCGCGCGGCGACAGCTCGTTGAAACTTACGTGGCTCTGGGAGGGTAAGCGGCGGGATCTCAGAGGTAGGCACAAGATAACCAGGAGTTCTCCGAGGCCGACGAGTCACTATAAACTCCCTGGGAGCTTAAGGAAGCGATAACGCAGTCAGTGAGCACTGGCAACCAGTATGCACGATTGCGAGCATTGAGATGCAGGATAAACTTACATGGGGGTGGCCGGCTCATTTCTGCAGCCTTTCACCGCCTGGCTAGCAAAGTTAGCGTGAATCAACGTGAATGGGGATTCGGAGAAAGGATGCTCCGAGCATGCAGGCAGTGAGTGGTTGGATTGGTCGTCTATAGGGAAGTGTTGTGAATCTCGGTTCATACTACACAGAATGTTCCATTCACTTGTCATTATTCGTATTCGATGCCTGTAACTCTAGGCTGCAGGATATTTGTGGATCAAACAGAAAGCTAGCTTGAAATTCAATAGAGTTACAAAATTGTCACATAGTGTTCCCGTGTCATACCAACACCACCTTTCAAATCAGAAAAAGCCATAGCCCTCGGGGAAAGACAGAAGATCAGTAAGCCCACATGCACTTGTATGCCATGAGTCTATGTCCCAGTCGATCGTATTCCAGCTGTCCGATCCAGCTATCATTTGTTCCGCTCAGCTTGCCAAAGACACTGGCTCCCTTCCAGACAACAACTTGCGGATCCAGATCTCGCGGTGGCGTGCCAATCATGATCTCCTTGGCAAAAGCTGGTCGCAGAGCCTGTAGACGCTCCTCCAGGAAGGAATGGAATCCATTGACCAAGCTGCCGCCTCCAACCACCATGATACCGCCGAGGAAGTCTCGCATTTTACGCTCATCAGATCGAGCCGCCTGAGCGATAGAGGTCAAGATCGCATTATCCAAGGGGTATACGGGGAGAATGTCATCCCTCTCTTCAACAGTAGGCCCACGGGGCTGCGAGGTGCTTTGGCCCTGTCCGCCCGGGACAGGGGTAGCGGCGCCGGCCTGAGGTGTACCGACTGCTTCCGGCGCAGGGGAGCCAGCGACTGAAGATCTTGGAGTTGCTTCGAGCTCTTGCACGCGACTAAGAGCATTGAACTGCTGGGCCCGGCTGGGGGTAGCCTGAACGTCCATGTTGTTCGACTGCGAATCACCGTTCACCTGGCCGTTAGTGGCTGGGGGAGCGATGCTGGAAAGAATGAGTGATTGGGCGGCCGATGTCGGGTCATTAGGCTGTCCGTCGTAGATATCCACCGAGCGGGCAATCAGCTTTCTGCGTCCCTTGAGCTTCTGTGAGTGATCGAAGATGGTCGGCTGGAAGTAGCCCATCGGCGCCAGATGGACTTCGTCGTAAGCCTTGAAAGAGTACTTCCGGGTGTCGTGACCGGCAACGCGGAGATGGAAATCGAACACTTGCACCGATACACTCGCTTCGTTCATGGTGCAAACGTTCCTTTTCAGCTCTTCTGCCAACAGGTAGTCGTATCGGCGCCAGAGATTGATATCTGAGTAAGGGAAGTTGTCGTAAAGCATCATTTTTATGAACGCTTCAGTGATATCCAACCCACCATACTTCAGGTTCACGCGAGAGTTCTCAATGCACATGCCTTCCTCGACGCAGCATATGGATGTCTTTTGGGCGCCAATGTCGACGACGCAAGCCGAGGTGAATCCGGCGCCGAATGTAGCTGCCAGACTTTCCTGGATGAAGCAGACTCGGGCAAAGGCAAACTCTCTCATGAGCAGTTCAAGTACTTGGGTGACATAAGACTTTTCGTAGATATCAGGGATGACGAAGACGCAGGAGTACTGAGGCCAATCCTTCTTGCTCGTAAGTCCCAGTTGGGTCTTGAAGGCATCCTCCAGAATGAGGGAGATATCAAGGAAGAGAAGCCGCTTGTTATCGTAGTCTCGCTCATTGCACCAGCCATGCCTTATTGGCCAGTAAAGCTTATAGCGAGGCTTCGAGTCATCGGGTATCCTCAAGGCCGCTTGTCCCACGATGTATTCGGGTGCTGGGTCAGGGATCTCAGTCCATTCCACGCGCATGGGGTCATTGTGTTCTGAAATAGTCTCCGGCACGGTCCTCCGATTGAAGTTGACGACCATTTCCTTGGAGTTTGGCAGTGTCCGACGCTTGTTCTGTCGCATATGGGTTTTGAGCTCCGCCGCCATCGTCGTATACTGGGAAGCAAACTGTGATACGTTAGAAGCCAAGTCATTGATGAGGTAGAGTTGGGCGAGAATCAGACCTCTGGGCCAAACATCTTCTCCGGCTCCATAGTTGAGCCATCGTCCAGTTTTAACCGCTTGGGACAAGGTTCCTCTTGGTCTTCCGACTCGCTGGTAGCAGCCTTCCGCGCAATCACCATGGGCACAGTTTTAGGCAAAGCATCACTGGCCAGTCCGATTCGCAGGTTTTGACTACCCACGTGGATGACAATAACCTTCGACCCTATTGTTTCCGTAGCAGCGTCCTCGGCATCTTCCATGTTGGTATCGCCATCTTCCGCGTCTGCTTCTGGCAGCCCTAGGTCGTTGGCCTTTGCCATGGCTAGAGCACGATCGCGGTCCTTGGCCGTTTTTGCCATCCGATTTCGATTCTCCTCATTCTGTAGTCTGAACGCCAGATACTGGTCATCGCGCTTCAAATAATCTCTATGAAGGAACTGATGGTCAGCGATGAAGGTGGGATAATAGAGGGCACAAGCCCGGTAATAGTAACACGATTGCGTATCGAAAGGGGAGTTATAGCGACGTACGTGTAGTAATTCTTCTGATTGATAGGAGGAATCTGCGGCCAGCTCGAGAGTTCCATATTGTTATCGGTCCGCTCCAGGCCTAAGCAGATCTGTTAGCAGAGAAGGTATAATCGTTTATTAGACCAGTGAACCCGTACCCTCGTCCCGAAGGAGAGCCTTTCCCGACTTCTTGCCGACCATGATGTGTTGCTAGACCGGCAGCCGGTAATCTCTGAGTAGGGTGTCAGTGAGAGAAAGTTGACCCGGTCAAATCGCGAGCGGATCGCGAAGGATGTCGGAAGGAGTAGATTCGGATCAGCTCAGGAGCATCCCAACGGTGAGGTGGCGCGTGGGGAAGAGGTGAAGAGGGATGATCGAGCGAAAGGCGTCGTGGCTGGGGAGGGAGGGAAGGAGAGGTAGGAATCCGACGACAATTGAATGATGGAAACCAACACCGGCCAGCGAGCGGTAGTGAACCGCATCCCCATCCAAGCCATCCTTAGTTGATTTGAGCTTGGGCCAGGCCGATCGGCAGGAGACCGCGGGCCAATGATGGCCACCAACCATCCCTCCATGCCATTTAGTCAGCTCTTGATCGTGGCCTTGTCTCGTGTCAAGCTGTGTTTTATTCAGTTCCGTTGAAAAGACCCTTCGTTGGCCTTTTAAATCCCCTCGCATCCCCTTGTCTGGTGCCCTCTGTTTGGAAAGAGTCCTTTTCGTGTCCGCCGCATCCTCTCCGCCACCACTCGACGCCCGACCCTCCCTCCGCAATATCTCTCGCTAGCCGTCATTCTCTTGTCGAACTCCGCGCCCCCCTCTGTCCCAGTGTTACTCTGCTCCTGTCGCTGTTAGGGTTATCAACATGGGAGGCTCCTTGTCTCGTATGTGGTCCTTTCTCTGGACGAAGAAGGAGATTCGCATCCTCATCCTCGGTCTGGTAGGTATAATCATGCTTTGGCACTAGGCATCAAGCTACTAGCGAGTTTCATACTAACCCGCACTCCCATCTCTAGGATAATGCCGGAAAAACAACACTTCTTTACAGACTCAAGGTGCGTATAGCCTTGCAGAGCTACTCCACTGTCAGCTCGAGGCCAGTGTTAATGTGCCAGGAATAGATTGGTGAAGTTGTTACTACGATACCAACCATTGGCTTCAACGTCGAATCGGTGACGTATCGCAACCTGAATTTCAATGTCTGGGTAAGTCAACGCTACAATATCATTATAGTTGCCATTTGGTAGGGGGAAAAAAACCGGCGGTTGCTGACTTTTCGCTGTCGTTCAGGATCTCGGAGGTCAAACGTCCATTCGACCTTACTGGCGCTGCTACTATGCGAACACCGCTGCTGTCATATTCGTCATTGATTCCACAGATATTGAACGACTCGGCACGGCTGCTGACGAACTAGCGGCTATGCTGAATGAGGAGGAACTTCGTGATGCGGCGCTGTTGGTATTTGCCAACAAGCAGGACCAGCCTGGCGCCAAAGGTGCCGGCGAAATATCAGAGGCTCTCAAGCTGGGAGAGCTAAGGGATAGAAACTGGAGCATCGTCGCATGCTCTGCTATCGACGGCAAAGGTCTTAACGAAGGCATGGATTGGCTGGTGGTATGTGCATCTTCAAGCTCCTTTCCTTCACGTTGGATAAGTACTGACCTTTTATACACAGCAAACTCTTCAGTCTGAAAACGCATGAGCGACGGTGTTATTGTACCATCTTATAGATTTCTTTTGATATATGTTCGCCGCTTTCAGGTGGTAGGGATTAGCTGCTTCCTGATGCTTCCTCATTCCTCCTTGGTGTCGTTCACTTATCCTCACTTTTACATCCTCTTTTCTCTCGCAACTCTGTTCAGGGCTCATGTCGTTTATACAGTATACCTCTTTGATATCGAAACATCCATACATAGTATAATATCATAATTATTTGGAATGACTACATTGCGTTCTACAGCAATGATTTGCGCCGCTTCTTATGCCATGTTCAGGTTCAAGACAGGGATCGTCCAGCCTTGGTGTAGAAAAGTCAAGACTTCAAGCTAGGAATGTCAGACAGTTGCTGCCGGTTGTATATCGGAATTGTCGTTCGAGCAGGACTAAAATCAGAATAAGTCCAAGTAAACTTTAGTCTTTTCAGTCACGATGGGCACGCTGATCTGACTCCATGCCTAGCTTGTAGACAGTCTGACACAACTGATCTGTTCAAACAGAAGAACAAGCTATGGATGACACCGTGGAGAAGCAGGCTTTGATTTTATCACAGAGCGACTGGTGGATAGTATTAAGATAGCATCACTCCAATTTGGCAATCTCCTTATCTACACCGAGCCTATCGCTCACATGGCGCGTATCAGCTCCGATAGTTAATTATCTATAGCTTGGTATTAGCTTCTAGATAGATTATCTTGCACAAGTGTTCGTACAGATTATCCCTGCCTGATTACTAGCACAACTAAACTTCAATTCCTCCAGCGTCTTCATGTTCTGCAAGGTCAATCGGCGTTGATCTTTCTGTATTGCAACGCAGTATATTTACCCCGCAACAGCCCACCGACATCCCTCCGCATCTCCGCGACCACTTCATCTACTACATACGACATGGCTATTCCTCAAACCCAAATCGCAGCTGTTCTCCCGCCTTCTGGGGCAACTGCCACTTCCAAATTACAAATTGTACATGACCGTCCGATTCCCTCACCCACTGAGGGAGAGGTCCTAGTCAAGCTCGAGTACTCCGGAGTATGCCACTCGGATGTTCACAGCGTGCGCGGGGAAACCCCCATGTTGACAGATGTGGCGGGTCATGAGGGAGTGGGAAAGATAGTGAAAGGTGAGTGCCTCATGCCATTGCCTCGCTAGCATTTGTCCATACCTGACCAGTTATGCGTGTAGTGGGCAGTGGTCTTGACGAGCAAACGTGGATGGGAAGAAGAGTTGGTATACGGTTCGTACGTCTGTTGATATAGAAAGACAGATATTGAACAAAGGGGTTTCGCAGATGGCTGTATAGCTCCTGTTTGGAGTGTGAGATTTGCGCCATCAATAATACGGCGTGTCCATATCAGAAGAATGCCGGAGCGGTAAGCAAGTACTCATAGGCCTTGTCATTCTAGTTATGCTAATTAGGTGCAGAATGTTCCAGGGACGTTTCAACGTGAGTGTTATTTTGTCTTTCAAATTCTTAGGCGTTGACTGACCAATATCCGTACTATAGAATACGTCGTCACTCCTGCGATTCATGCAACTATAATCCCTCCTGAGCTAGCACCGGACGTAGCTGCACCACTCTTGTGCGGTGTGTACAACTTTTCACCTGATATCTCAAGGTTTCCAGGCTAATATTAGCGCAGCTGGCATCGCAATGTACTCCTCGATTATGAAGACCAAAACTCGACCCGGAGATTGGATTGTCCTTCCTGGAGCAGGAGGAGGCTTAGGACATATGTATGCGCATCTGCAGCTGTTTCTTCCCGGCGGATAAAGCTGACGGCATACAAGGGGCGTTCAGATTGCAGCTAAAAAAGGACTCAAAGTCATTGCAATTGACAGGTATGGCGCCCACTATTATTGAAATTTTTTGTAGCTTACCCAGCGTAGCGGCGAGAAGAAAAAGCAGCTTTGCCTCTCCCTAGGAGCCAACACCTTCCTAGACTACAAAACAGACGACGTAGAGCGTGAAGTGAAGGCTTTGACATCGGGGTTAGGTGCCCATGCTGTCATCTGCACAGCCAATAATGAGCCAGCATACACACAAAGTATGAAAATGCTTCGCAGCTTGGGTGTTTTGGTGTGCGTCGGTATACCAAGTGTGCCGTTTAGATTACCAGCAACGCCCTTTGAGATGATTGTGAAAGGTAATCTATCTTCGTCACTGTCTTCTTCCAGCTCAATCTCAATCAGATGCTGACTTAAAACAGGACTTACAATTGTTGGCAACTCTGCCGGGACCGCCAAGGAGATGGAAGAGCTGATGGAGATGGCTGTAAGGGGCGATGTGACAGCACATATTGAGTGCTTTGAGTTCGACTGCATTGATGATGTCCTGCAGCGACTGGGACGATCTGAGGTCGAGGGACGGGCAGTTGTGCGCATTCCTGAGTAGACCGGCGTATTTGCTTATTATGGTTACAGGAAGAAGCGGCTTGGTATTCTTCCAGCAACATCTACCTTATTACATTACCCGAGGAACAATATTCTCTAGGCAAGAGTTTCAAATTGGTAATCACTGCGTATCCGGAACAAATCAGGCATTAGTTTGTCAATAATATATGAGATACCACTACGAACCACAACATTAATTTGCTTCTTAAGACTGCGATGCCCAATCTATTAAACCAGGAACAAACTGACCCGATCAGGATATTTGCCATATTAGCCAGGCATGCATTTAGCAACGAAAGCTATGGCTTAATGTCCTGCATTATCTGCCCCATTCTCTTCTTCGTTGTCTGTTTCACCTTCCATGAACCATTGCATATCGATGCCTCTCGCCTCACATTCCCGCCTCAACTTTTTCGTACCCTCAATTTCTTTGTCGACTTCTTCTATTGCGAAAGACATTTCCAATGTCAATGTTCCACCCACCGTTGTCCCATCCGGTATCGTTTCATCATCCGATGCAGACAAATCTTCCAGAGGCTTGTCCCTGAGTTCCAAACTCTTCAAGTGAGGAAACGAACTTCGATCTTGAGCAACCATCAAAAGTTCGGCCAGCAGACGACTATTATCGGAGAGAACGTCTTGGACAGCAAGTGTTTGCAGAGAGCTCGGAAGTCTGTCAACAAGCCGGTCAACGCTGGATTTCTTGACGGGGGCGTTCGAAAAAATGGGTACGAGGTGGGCATGCCGAACGGTCAAATGCTCAAGGACAGAGAATTCTCGAAAGGACTCGAAGGGGATGTTATCCGTACGAACCCCTATTCCCCCATTCATCTCAAGACAAATATTGTACTGCTTATCATATGTCACGCTGAGAGATTTGAGGGTATCTTTGAATGGAAGAAGAGCCTGATAAAGATTTTGAGTATCAAAGCGTCTTTCAATCACCCTTGTATCGGAGTGAAGCGAGGCTTCGATTGAGAAATGCTCTAGTTCTTTACATACTTTGAGCCAGTCGAGCATCCCAGTACATCCCCAAATATCGTCCAATGAAATCTGCCTAACGGGGCCAACTGGGAGGGGCGGCTCGTAAGAGTAGATATAAGGCTTTCTGCCCTCACGGCTTTTATTAGCCCAGATCGAATAGCCTGTGATGGACTGGACATTTGGAAAATAGAGAAACGGAGTGAGAAAATCCTCGTGAATTCCTTGACCTTCATCTTGGCAGTGAGCGACGACCTCTCGGAGGAAAGGAAACGGTGCGGTTTCATGAAAAGGTTGCTCCCGCTTTGCAGCTTTATATAGAAGATCATTGAACAAAACTGAGTCTTGATGATCGAATTCAATGCGTTCCAGGCGCGACAAGCTAACAAACAGGACTCCTATCCAAGCCTCCATCTCGAATTCGAGCAGGCAATCCCGGTATTCCTCCCACATGTCTGTAAACCTTGGGCCTGGTGTGAACATCTTGTCTAATGCCTGTGACACGAAGGGTGAAAATACATCAAAATCGTCATTACTGGCGTCATGAACTGGTATGGGTTCGTCATGATCCCAGTAAAGTTTGAGGCTGCGAACCCAATCTGCCACCTCGGGATGCTTCCAGAAACGAATAATAAGATGGATATGAGCAACGGTGAGGGGATGGTCGTAGCCCAGGTCAAGATGGTAATAGAGGATTGGTTCGAATATCTTGTGGAATTTTCGACAGCACAGAGTCAAAGCAAGCAAAGTCGATCTCCGCACCTTTTCGCAATCCTCATCTATCTCCAGGGCAATGCACATCCCTATCATTCCGAGGATCTCTGCTGGTAGGTTCTGCATGGTGTTTCAATTGTGGCTGTTATCACTGCTGACGCTAGTATATAATTTGACTTTGACAGAAGCTGAGACAGTGTCAATTTATATCCGCGTTTCGCTATACAGTTGATCCGGTGAAGAAATGCACATTCCTGGTGCGCAGAGAGAAATCCTGGTAATAACCCTCTTTGCACTGTGACTCTCAATGCGACAAGCAGCACTGCGGTAACTCCCAGGTGCATTCACTTTCAGTAGCGGAATGGGTCCAAGTGGCAAGTCCAAACATATATCTTCCGTCTACTTATTCCAGTGCCTTAACTGGTCATTTTGGCTTAAGAAGGCAAATCAAAGAACACTATGTAATGGATATTGAACAACTAACAACCTTGCACAAGACAAATAGCAGCAGACAAAAGCATCATAACGTACAGCGACTTCCCATATCTATGCCATAGTCTTTCCGCTTTCTACCACGACTTCCGAGATGCCCTTTAGATCAATATCGCCCATCTTCAGCTCCATATCATCGTACTTGTCACTAGTGGGACTCAACGTCGGGTCGAATAGGACGGGATCATCTGCTCTTGTAGACCCCACCAGCCACTCAAGTTGCGTCTTCCAGTCCGCCTTTGCCCGAATGGAGACGTTGGCCTGGAACTTCCCTTCGTCTTTTCTCTTCAGCAGTATGGCTGCCCTCATGGCAGCGGGAACTCCAGCCTTTGTCGCGGGATTCTCAATCAAAGTCCACGAGGCACAGTTGGCCTTCCCATAATTTCGGCCCCTTAGGTCAATCGACCCGACGATGGTCGCAGCATAGCTCATCTCTCGGCTAATGTCATGTCCATATTTTACCGTACTGCTTGCATCGACAAAGTTGCTGACGACAGTTCCCGCACCAAGGGTCAGTGAGCCCTCAGTGGAACTCGTTTCAGTCTGAGTTGTGCGGGAGACACTGAGATGCTCATTTGGAGCAATGGCATAGACTTCTGGATCTGCTGCACCAGGCTCAGAGCCAGAGAATTGCAGCTCAATATCAACTTGGGAAATGCGACGGGCACGCTTACGTGGGTCGAACCGGAACTGCAGAACGATGAGGGTTGCATACGAACTAGCGTCTGGGCTGAGTAGTCCATGGACAACGTCGACGCAGGAGCAGCGAATGTCAACTGCGGTCTTGCGCTCAATGTAGTTTTCGCGCTGATAAGGTGCGGAAGGGTCGTTCTGGGTATGGAAGGCACTGCCAGCGTCGCCAGTTGGGCTGAGGCCGATGTCGAAGGTTTCAGGGTGCGTGGCCACGGTCGTAGTGACGTCTGGCTTCATTGTGGAGGTAGTGTTTATATATTCTGCCTGCAGAAATATGGAGGTGGATATGATATTGGAGAAGACGGAGATTTGAAGGCTATGTGAGTGCCAATGGATAACCATCGAGATGACCGGATGGTAGCTGACTTTAATATCCTGATTCGGAGGACGATCTGGCCTCCCTTTCACATTGTAGCGCCGTACCTACTGTTCGAAATCTGCATCCTAGAGGAATATCGGCGCTGCGCCGCGTCAGCTCAGCTCCTCTCAAGGCCAATGAAGCTGAGGACAAGGATGAATTCTGTACAGCACTCCAGGACATGCTTAGCACGGCGCTTCAGCCCTGAGTTCAGCTCACGACGTTCTAGACGTAGGACTACATTTCCGTTGGCTCACATCTGTGCTCAATTGCCGCTATAAGGCAGTGCATATACGTGGACGAACCAACCGAAGTGCCTGATATATACGCGCCGAGACTAGCCATCGCCAGACATGGCACCATTTAAACTGACAGACCAGTCCAGAGCTCCTGCATTTTGGAACCAACCACACCAGTCTACTGGTTCGTGCTCATTGCTCGTAAGCCCATTGCTATACATAGATAGTTGAAATAAGCAAGCAAGCACGCACTACTCAATGGGTCGGATATTTTTACCGGCTGATGCACTAACCCAATCATAATCCTGAGAATCATATCAAGCGCTTGTCTGAGCGGATCAGTATGAGAAAAGTGGGAACCGGCGCCTGCGGTGGCCCACTAAAAGGAGCGGATCATTCGTAGGCGCTAACGGCGAGTACTTAATAGCCTACCAGTACATATTGCCCATCTCTAAGGTAGCAAGGTACAGAACCTAGTGGCTCTGTTTCTGATTCTGTGGCGGTAACTGACATGTAGGTTCATGCTGGTCGAGAGTGATGAATACTTGTCAAGTCCGTAAAGGTATGAAGTGTCTCAGCGCTAACGGAATATACTAATAGGAGACCAACAAATAATCACCGATGATTGTAACCATGATCTGCTTTTGATGGCCCTGGCGGCGGCATACTGATCCTGTGCACCGATATGAGCCGATAGGAGGATAATAATAGCATGAGCGATTATCAACCGCGCTCAGTGTTAGATGTTTCAGCCTTAGACTACTATGAGCGAGTAGCTACTACTAGAGCAGGCCTCAAAATGTACTTTCAGCTTCAAGGCACAGTGAATAGATCAGCTTTGATGATAGCCATGTCTCCTAACGTCCGTTAAATGTATTGTGTCGTTGGTCCATACTAAGGAACCATACGGTACCTTAGAACGTAGCAATCGAAATTATTCTCAGCCCCCTTTTCGGCTTCAGTAATCAAAGAGTACACCGTCGACAATACCTACCTGTCATGGCAAAAGCTAACTTACGCCATCACCGCTTTATTAGATAAGTCGTACACTTAGACTTAGACTTCTCACTCTCTTATCACATGTTGGTCTCTACCCATATTCTTATGGCAACCATGCAGCGAATCTTCACACTTTCGAATGTGGTGAGAGATTACGGCTTCCTCTGTGGTGACCTCCACCGCGAAACATTCTCTACTGACCGTTGATATACTCTCCAGTTAAGCAGCTAATAGCAGCTTTCAACAGAGGACATTTTTTAGACAGATATATACGGACGGCCAATAACTGCCATTGAATTAAAGCAAGGTCTTGTGGGACGAAGAGAAATTGAACCTTTTTGCACCACCGGCAATTTGGTTCTGAGAGTAGGCTGGGGAGACATTGAGACTATATGTTCGATTGAGATGAGGTTTTTTAAGGATACGCGGACGGTGTGAAGATCTTTACCAATAAAATTCAACTTCTGAAGGCTGATAGTACATATTTATTCTCGAGGGTGGCCTTATTTCATGCAATCGACGATGCAATCGATAAACATTCAACAATGAAGAAACTCCTGCCACTACTCAAGTATATGTCAAAACAAATCTCTGCCAAGTAGGCCAAAACGATACATTGATGGCCACCAAGCAGCAGGGGTGACTCAATTGTCTCAACAGTATATCCTGAGGGACAATAACAGTGTGTAAGACCTACACATGAGTGACGAGCTCGGACAACTGAACGATACAGCGGGGGTGATCCTACATGTCCAGGAGACAAAAGCACTCGGCTATCGCGGTTGCGAGGGAGGGTCTCATGTACAGAAAATGGACTTCAGGTGGCGGGAAGCAGGCGTGCATGCATGGACCGGGTGAGTACGCAGTAGGGCGGAGAGTCGCAAACCTGCCTGTAAGTCAATGATGGGCCTGGAATCCTACTTTGCCAGGTCGGGTAGCTTTGGGTTCTATACTTTCATGCTACACTGGAGAGCACCAGCTGACCGTGGGTGTACGAAGTCTATCAGACATGTGCCTCTCCCAGAATCCGGGATCGCCCTAGTACCTGGCTGAGCGACGAAAAGGAGGGATGGATGAATGAAGGAGGGGGTGCGAGGAATTGACGGCAGTGCGTCTGCATCGATGATCTGCCCGATACAACCTCTAACCAATCACTGCTATTATTGGCAAGACGATGAATGGGTGCTGACCGTTGATCGGGCCCACCAATAAGTTGGAAGATCGGGGTGCCTGGGGCTGTCGTGCGGGATTCATTGGCGGCGAGTGGCTCCGGGAGCCCAAGGCGTGCGGGCACATGCACCCTTGATTGGCCTACCCGAACTATATGCAAAAGCATCTCTACAACTGACGGAAGCTCTGCAACTCCCCTCTCCAACTTCTGCTAGTAAAGGTCTCCGACTGCAATTCGGTGCCAGCTGGTCCCAAAGGACCACCCGGAGATCCTTCCTCCACCCTTTCCCGCGAGCCATTCACCCTCGCACCACGGACAGCCAATGCAGCTTATCATCTCCGGACCATGTGTCCCCCTGATAGGGCATCGCGCTGCGCTCTTGTCTTTTTGAATTCAACTTTGACCACGAGGGGCTGTCGCATGTGGGGCGTGCATCCCAAAGATGTGGTCAATTCCTCCCGCATTGCTCTGTCAGTGCTTGCAGAAGCAATTGATTCAAGAAGCCGCCCTTCCTCGCCATTCTCGAGGCAGAAGTTCTGCCTCTCATCTGTCCTTCTTCCGACAGGAGGCTTTGACTCTGTCCCATTACATCCCTTTGTGTCCTCATGTCGTCCAGCAGTGTGACCGGTCCCTTTTGGGGCCAATTGAATTGGCTGCATGTCTACATTGCCGGCACTGCGTTTGCAGTCTGCGCGTTCGTCGCATTGGTCATAATAATGTCGTCGCAGAAGCGGAAAATTGACTACAACAGCGGTGTTTTCACCTATCTCAAGTTCGCATATGCGACATTCCTCAAGCCCCACGAGAAACACGGAAATGGCCAACAAGATGCTCTCGAGAGCTTCTATAAGACGCAGGTATGCCAGATAGACCACCAATTGACTGTTCTAGTGCCATTGACTGACAGAAACGATAATAGGCCGGTGTGTATGACGCCACTCGCAAGCGTTTGTTGTGCGGTCGAGAGGATATGCTGGGTCTGGTTGCGGCTCAACTCAAGCACAAGGTCGAGAACAAGCAGCTTCAGTCTGGCAAAGCTGTCTGGGTTGATGTAAGTACACCCTCTACAATTTCACTGAGTCCTGGCTAACAAAGCAGATTGGCGGAGGCACTGGGTGAGCAACCTCAAGGACATGGCACCCGACGAAACACTAACCACTATTAGATACAACAT